ATTATTCTTCTTTGTCTTTCCTTTTTCTTTTTTAATTCGTTTAGATAGCCTCACCTAGGGGTGTTCGGTTTCGGGTACTCTACACTTTTTGAAGGAACCGAAATCGACGGTTCCTTGAAATTTGAAACCAGAACCGGAACCGACGGTTCCGGTTCCTAGGTACCCAGAACCAGAACCTGTAACAACGGTTCCGGTTCCGGTTCTGGGTACCCTGTAAAATTTCATGACCCCCCAAAAGTTTTTAAAATAGCAAAAAAACCTTTAAAAAAGCAAAAAAACCTTTAAAAACTTACAAATACCCCCCTACCTGGCACTTGTTAACAAAAATAAAATTACAAATTATAAATTCAAAATTACAAACTCCATTACTTTGTAAAGGTAGATTCTCAAAAGTCAAAACAACTTACTTTAAATGTTATGAAATATAAATATAAATGTATTCACATTACTTTTTCTACAAAAGTTTATATTAATTCCCCTAATCTTTAATTTTATTTTATATTAGTCTCGGTTCCTGGTTCCTGGTTCCGGTTCTGGTTCCTAACTATAGGAACCGGAACCGGAACCGGAACCGCACAGTAACGGTTCCAAAAATTTGGAACGGAACCTACCCATTGACGACTGGTTCTGGGTAGGAACCGGAACCAAACTCAGGGTACCCGCCGGTTCTGATTCCAACCGGTTCTTTTGAACACCCCTAGCCTCACCATGTGAAGTTGTTTATTACATTACATACTTTTAGTTTTAAATTAGAAGAAAATCAACTTTTTTTTAATATTATACTCTTTTATATTATTTTTCTTTCCTTATTACCACATTTTAGGGATTCATCATGCCGCACGTTACCAACAATATTTATCATTATGAAGGCCTAAAATAACATACTGCAACCTTAATCTTATTATATATATTTGTGGGTAAGTTTTTTATATAAATGAGGGGGTAAAATGTATATATTTTCTTAATTAGAACATTTAAAATACATTTTTGAAACAAAATTTATCAAGCATTCTTAATTTCTACACTTGAACAATATAGATGTAAAATTAATTATTTTGCTGAAATTACAAATAAAACATCTTTCCAAATTTTGTCAAAATGTTATTTATTTTATTTCCAATTAATCTTAGGGGGTGTGGTGGAAGTAAAAGTTATAGTTGCAACAGTACCACAGAAGTGGAGAAGGAAAACAACATTGAAGAATGAATTTTGCAGTAATTGTCTTGAACGAAAACGACCAAGTATTAGACAATTATTTTCTTCGAGTAACATTATTTGAGGATTAAAAGTACAGTTTCCTGTTTTTGGTTTTGGTAGCTATGTTTAGAGCAATGTTGATGTTTATAATGAAAGTAAACAAACAAACGGCCAATATAGAGAGATTGGGGCTGCTTAAATGTTTAACCTACTTTTTTTTTTATCTAAAAAAAAACCGAAAAAACAAAATGAATGGTTAACATGTATTACGATAAAAGTTAAATTTTGAGTTAAATCTGAAATATCAAATTTTAACTTGGACGATATTTCATCCTTTATTATAATCAAGACTGACAATGAAACAGTCCCAAATGACAGCTTAAGAATCTTATGGGCATGATGATGTAGTAAAATGGTTTGATGGTCCAGTGGGATGAAACCCATTAGATGTAACTGTAAAGAGTAAAGACAGTAGAGTGTAGAGACAAGGGAGGTGGTGTGTTCTAAGAATATTTTAATAATATCAGCTGACTGCAACTGTAACGCAGTGACGTCGATATTCGTTGATACATGCCGAAATTAGATTAGGATAGTTGACTGCGGACAGCTCCGAATTCAAGCCCAGGGTAAGAGGTTAATTAAGCTTAAGCCACGACGCTCTTTGGAAAAGTTCAGTAATCGTCATATTACCTAATTGCTTTCTAATCTGAACAAGTGTATAGCCTGAAATAAATAATAGAAAGAACAAATAAATTAAATTATTAATTGATGTATAAATGATCAATATTATGTCTTTCATTTATTAGCAAAATAATAACAGTCGCTTTTAAGCGCATCCTCTAATACATTTTCATTGCGTGCAATTTCTTAGGAGGACCAATAAGAACTTGTATATAGTCATGAAATAGATGAAGAGAAAAACAAGAAGTCAAGAACAAAGCAACGCAAAATTTCTAGTTTATTCCTCTACATTAAGGTAATTAACAACAAATAAACCATAACAAATCGTTAAAAGTTGTTGAAAAAGACTAGAATAGAAGTCGAAAAGCCCTACAATTATCAATCACCGCCAAACTTCATAACCTCGGCCACTTTTTTGAAAGCTGGCCTACAAGTAATATCCTCCCACCAAGCCTTCACATGGGGACGTTCATTTATAAGTGAAGCAAAAGGAGTCTTCGTGAAATAATAAGTGTAAGAAAAATGGTGCAAATCAGCCAAGCTATAGAAATCTCCTGCAAGATACTTGGTGCAACTGAGCTTAGTCTCGTACACGTCAAGCACTTGCCCTAGCTTCACTAAGTTTGCATCAATGATGGCTTGATCTGGTGTTTTGCCTTATGTCGGCGCCACATAGAATTGGTACACAATCGAAGACATGGGTGGGTGGAATTGTTGCGATTCAACTTCGAGCCATACCTTTACCAATGCCACTTCTTTCAGGGGTGTCTCTAGAACATTTGTGACCCTAGTTAGGAGTTACTTTGGGGTCCTCTAATAATATAAGTATATATTAACAAAATTATTTCTTTTTTTTTTTTTTTTTTTTTGCCTTTTGAAATGAAAAATCACTAGGAGAGGTGAACAGTAATCGACAGGCTAACAACTGCAGTAGCAGATCCAGGAATTTCTTTTAGGGTGGGCCAAAATAAAAATTTATTATACATTACTATTTTTGTCAAATAATATTTTTTTTAGGGTGGGCCAAAATATATAAATTTACATATTAATATTAAAAAAAAAATTGAGGGTGGGCCAAAAAGTGGCTGGATCCGCCACTGCTAACAAGGTTAGGTTGGTGGGGGGTTTTGGAGAGTAGATGTTGGAGAAGTGATGGGTGGTGAAATGGGTGATTTCCAATGCCAAGATTGATAAGTAAAGGCTTGAGAAGTCACGGCCTAAAAAGTATCGATGGCCTGCGATTGGCAGAGTAAACGGATAAGGTATGATAGAGGTTTTGGTGAGAGGGCTGAGGGGAGGAAGATGGTGGTGTCGGGGAAGGCCAACAATGTCGGATACATGCCAAAAAGGTTGGAAATGGCTGTCGTGTGGTGGAGTTAGGTTGCGAAATTCATCATAAATTAGTCAAATCGAGGGCTATCAAGGTTGGGAAATGATAAAATGATGATTTCGGTCGATTTTGGTGAAAAAATCGACCGGAACCAAAATTGACCGAAATCAACTCCAAACCACTGGTGGCAGAAGAGGACTAGAGATGATTTATGTGAATGTCAAATTTTTGGATTGAATTGGGGGTGAGTTATTTGAGATATGTAAATGACTATTTTAGTCTTCCATTGTTAAAAGAGATTCAATGTGTTAATTTAGGGGTATAAACTAGAATATATAAAACTAGAGGTATAAACTTGCTATTTTGTTAAACTTTGGATGGGAATATATGTAAAAAGTTTATAATAAATTTGGCCTTTTATGGTTTTTTTTTTTTTTTTTGGGAGAGGGGGGCCGCCTTGGCTTAAATAAGAAATTATAAACCATTTTCATTTTTGTAAAATATTAAAAAAAATTACAAAAAATTTGGGCTCCCATTTTTTTGGGGCCCTAGACAGGTGCCTCATCTGCCTACCCCTTAAGCCGACCCCTTGACTTAGGGGGACCTTAGCTTAAATAAGAAATTATAAACCATTTTTATTTTTATAAAATATTCAAAAAAAATTATAAAAAATTTGGGCCCCCATTCTTTTAGGGCCCTAGTAATTGACTCACCTGCCTACCCTTAAGCCGGCCCTGGCTTCTTTCAGGTCTTTGCGCCTCAAAAGATCAGCGCCGGTTTCCTTGAATTTTTCAGCAACGTATGATGTGATTGCACTAGATTCTAGCATATATAACAGTTAAGTTTATGAGGGTTTCGTTCAAAAATAAAATGATTGAATGAGTTACATGAGAGAAGGAAGAAATTAAAGCTTACCAAATAAAGTGAGATCATTGTCTTCAAGAAAACCAGCTCGTGCAAATGGGCAATCATGCACGCATAATGATCAACACTCGGTGAAAAGCCATACTTCCCATCAATCAATGAAATAAAGTGGGAGGATTGAAGAAGGATCAAGAGTTTTCTAAGGAATTAAAGAGAAGATTGAACTTACGCCAACTGCGGATATTAAAGGGCTAGCTCTTGGTCAGACAGGAGAGGAGGCAGTTTGGGTGGTTCTAATGAAATGGAACAATAAGGGTATAATGCTGACGAAGTGACCTTGGTTAATGTTGCTTGTCCCCACTCCGGACTGTGTGCTATGCACAGATGGGAAGATGGAGTGATGTTTAAAAGTTCTGGGAGTCGATGAAAGAGAGGAGACTGAGAAGGACCTAGGCTCTAGTTCTCTAGTAATTACAGGACCCCCAAGTGCTTATGATTCGTATTAACTGTTATCAAGCATTAATTCCATTTCCATACAAGAAGAGTCGCGGCAAGTATGGAAGCAATGATGTATAATTTTGAATCATACAAGCCTGTTTCGATGTTCTACCATCAATTAGCATCCTGAGCTGCATCACAGATGATACATATCTAATAATGTCAAAACAAGGATTTTGGTAAATAGTTGTTGTGTTGTCCACACAAAGTAAATTGACAATGTTCACAAACTAGAACTCTGCTTTAATTCACTTCTATTTACCAAATTGGAAATAAAATCGGTAAGATGTCTTTGGGAAGGCAATTTGTTATATTCCTCTTCGTTTTACCTACAAATATCAGCGTAATTCGTCTGTTTACAGGAAATACAAGATTCGATGGCAAATATTGTTTTGTTTTATTATAATTATTCTCATAAGTCCACAAAGTCTAATCATCCCAAAGTGTATCACAACTATAGTTATCTTAGACAATTGGTAGTTTGGTACGATACAAGCTTCAAGCAGTACACAAACGCTTCAATATTCAGACACACTAAAAACATAATAAAAACTCCCGAAAACACTGCCTTTATATTATGACAGACAAGAGACCGTCAAGTGGTGTGCAGTGGCTAAATGCCCAAATATCTATTGCTTCTGCATGGCAACGACCTTAGACCAAGCTGGTCTAGATGAGATATTTGCAGCCCATGCACTAACATGCGGGCGTGAATCGAACAGCTTTTTGACTGGTGTCCCCATCAAGTAATGTAAATTAGGGAGGTGATGCATATCTGCTAAGGTGAAGCAGTCACAGGCCAAGTACTTGGATTGAGCCAATCGAGCCTCGTAGATGTCTAACACCTTGCCCAGCTTAGCTTCATTCTCTTCAACCACAGCTGGATCCGTAGTCATGCCAAACATTGGCTTAAATACTAGTTCCCAGTTCAATTTTGATGCTACAGGGTCGAATTGTTGTGCTTCAACCTCCTTCCATACCAAAATCGGAGCCAAAGGCTTGCCTGGGCATGTTAACTGAGTGCCCTTGTCAGCATACTCCTCAGCGATGTATTGGGTAATTGCCCTTGATTCTGCGGAACAAAATTTGAAAACATTGAGTAAACGCCAGTCATATTCATACAACATTAGTAAGAGAGGCATTTGTTAATTATATTTACCGAATAGCTTTTGGTCTCCAACTTCTAGGGCTGGGACTTGACCAAATGGCTGGCATCATCAACCACACAAAACTTCGTTAGATTGAAGAAGAAATTTCACATGGATGTAGGCAAGACATGAATTAACCCACATAAAAGGACTTTTCCTTTTATCATAAAACAAGTCAACGAAAGGGGCTGACTAATTAGCATAATTTCAGTGCTGTTTGATGTATTGAACAACTAGCCAAGCAGGCATAAAAGCTTTTACTTGATATTATACTTACATTGAGGGAAAGGAATGTTTCCGATTTGTGTTGACCAGCTTTCATGTCTATGGGAACAAACTGGAAATCAAGATCCTTCTCGTAAAGGCATGCAAAAACACGCATTGAAGCTGTGGAGAAAACGGCACCGTGGACTTTCAAGACTGCCATGGTTGTTGTGATTAAACCGAAAGGTAAATAGCTTAATGGTTAACGGTGGATGAGGTTGGAAGCAGAGGAAGCAGGCGTTTATAAAGGAAGGAGACTTGATGCTTTAAATTTCTAGAATACTCTTCTAGGTTATAAAAATATGTTTGTGGTGGGGAAAAGGCCGGTAGATGCCTACCCTGTTCGTGGAAAAAATCTTAAATTATATTAAATTATTGATAGATCTAGACCTCGTATTGTCATTTCATCTTTGTTTTGTTCACTAGCATATACCTAGTATTTTAAAACCTACATAGAATTATCAACTTTTATTTGTTTATAAAAAAGATGAGGGTGAAACTAAACTCTTGGCCTTGGGTAACCCGCAGCAAAGTCATGCTGGCCTTTGTTGACTTGTAAAATTCTATAAACTTTTATTTGTTTTACATTAAACTCCCTTATATTAACGGACGCACAAAGAAATTTCAAAAAAAAAAAAAAAGGGAGATTTGGAGTCATGTCAGTTTGAGGTGAATGAATAAAGTCAAGTTGAATTGAAGGCGTAGCTTTGGGTCGTGGACTCGTGGGGCTGGTTGGGGTCATCTATTGGTCTTTGTCAACTGACCGACTGTCGGTGGCCTAACCATATATATATATGTTAGTTTATATTCTTGTATAATTTAGTGAGTACATGGGCTATGCTATAGTGATTCAGACCTTTATTTTTGTTGCACTATTGTATTCGATAATTGCCGCAGAGAAGGTTTATGAATTTAATTTGTTAGTATTGTTTGCTTTCTTTAATTATTAATATTTTCATAAACTACATTTACCTGCAGATGGCTGATCTTGTTTGACCATTCTTTTGTGGCTCATGAGGATCCATTTTCGATCATGTTGGAGACGGAGAGTGATGCTTTCAGCTTAATCTATACTACTCTGCCACAACTTTGGCTCAAGCCTAATCCGAACAGCGCTCCCATCAGCCTCTTCTTCCAGCAAATGGTTTTCCTTGACAGCTTTGAAAACACTATTCCCTCTTTCTGTCGCTCTATCGACAAAGGAGGAAGTTAACATAGTGGAGTGTTATTTGGAGTTAAATATAATTCTATGTAGGTTTTAAAGAAGAAATATGATGATTATTTTGAAAGAATAGATTGAGATTAAACCCGAAATGAAAAAAAAAAAAAAAATCTTGAAAATAGATAATCAGGTTAACTAAGGGATTTAGGAAAAAAATATAATCTTTGAATAAAATATAATAATTTTAATAATTATTGAAGCTGAGAAAAAGACTTGAGTGGGGCACCCACTCAATAAAATAACCATATTAATATTTGTTTTAAGATAGGAAGAGTTAAAGCTGGATAGCATTCTTCTTTGTCTTTCCTTTTTCTTTTTTAATTCGTTTAGGTAGCCTCACCATGTGAAGTTGTTTATTACATTACTTATTACACCATACTTTTAAATTTTAAATTAGAAGAAAAGCAACTCCACGAATCATTTTTTTAATATAAAATTGTATGCTCTTTTATATTATTTTTCTTTCCTTATTACCCCATTGTTCTCTGGATTAGGGATTCATCATGCCACAAGTTACCAACTACATTTCATAATTATCAAGGCCTAAAATAACATACTGCAACCTTAATCTTATTATATATATTAATTTGTGGGTAAGTTTTTTTAGATAAATGAGGGGTAAAAATGTATATATTTCTTAATTAGAACATTTAAAATACATTTTTGAAACAAAATTTATCAAGCATTCTTAATTTCTGCACTTGAACAATATACATGTAAAATTAATTATTTTGCTGGAATCACAAATAAAAAATCTTTCCAAAATTTGTTAAAATGTTATTTATTTTATTTCCAATTAATCTTAGGGGGGCGTGGTGGAAGTAAAAGTAATAGTTGCAACAGTACCACAACAAGCGTTAAAGGTAAAACACTACTAGCTATTCCTCATAAGGAGACTGATTTAATTAATTGAAAGACAAATATGTTTGTTTGAAACACTAGCTATTCCTCAACCAAATATGTTTGTTTGAAGGAAAACAAGCGTTAAAGAATTTGCTCTAAACTAGGAAATATAATTCATTGAAAGACAAATTTGTAACCAATCTTCATTATTAATTCTTGAGAATATGCTTGTCATATATATATAATACGACAACTTGGTATTCAATTTCCCGTTAAAAAACATTAATTTTTCTATAAAATTTATATCATTTTCATTAATAATAAACAACATGAAACGAAAGATAGATGTTATGTTTAAAAAATCAGGGCTGACACAGGCTTACATCAGCAAAGACAACCAATCAGAATTTAGGAAGGGATTGTGTCGTCTAGGCACTGCCATGTCGTCCAAGGACAGAAGGAGTAAGGTTGTCATCAACTTGGCAAGTAAAGGTTTGGCGAGTAAGTGGCTGGGAGTCACCCACTTGCTCAAGCCCTACGCGATTTTAGGATATCTTCCGTGTAACCGGCCAATAGGAAGTAAGATAGGAACTGTACGGCACCTGCCCGCTGGCAAACCCATAATCATTACCTAGAAACCTCTTACTATAAATAGAGAGTTCATCTCTATTTTTCGAGATTCTAGCTTTGATAGCATATACACTCTCTCTCTCTCTCTCTCTCTGTATTTCTGTTCTCTTAAATCGTTGCATGCGACCTGATTGTACTCTTTTATAAATAAAAAATCAGTTGACGTAGGAGTCGTTTTGAGCATCCAAACCACCTTAAAAATTGTCTCCCCTTTATTTGTTTCATTTTCCAGTTTACGCGTAATTTCTAAGTCCGTTTAGCATTTTGCACATGCGATTAGTTGGTGTTAAAATCCAGCATCAACAATAGAAAATCAAGAAATAAGAAATAGAAAGTCAAAAATTTATTATTTCTTAAGCATTTCTGTACAAAATTACGACATCATTTACACGCAATCGAAATAGATGAAATGCTTGAGGATTTGGGTGCATCTGAAGCATCAAAGTCCATGTAGGTCGAGCGAGAATCTGAAAGCACCATGCACTCATATGAGGCCGACTCTCAAAAAGCTTCTTAGCCTTAGTTCCCAACGAGCCTGCACGTTTGGGATGTGAAGTAAGTCAACAATGGTGTAATTATTAAATGCCAAGTATATGAACATTGTTAATATGTGATTTCGACACCAACGACCTCGCACATGTAAAACGTTAAAAAAGATTTTAAAAATTACACGTGAACAAATTTGAGAGTTGATTATGGAATACTGTTATCACAGTTGCATGCAAAGACTTAAAGTAAATGAGACAATGAGAGTTTTATAGTAGTTCGGATGCTTAAAGCGAATCCTACATCCATTGTGTTCTTTCATATGAGTGAGTTCTTGGTTATTAGCCAAGTTTACAAGAGGTTGCAAACTGCGATCTGGTTTACAGGTGCTTAGTGTTTTAAGTATTCTTAGAGAATATCAAGCTAGTCTCTTTCTCGTAGGGTGTCTTTGTTATTTTTCTTTGTTAAATTCAAAGTGTCTTATTTTGATTTTGTGAGGGGGAGCTACTTATTTATATCCGCTGAGCTCAAGGTAATGATTATATATCTGTAAGTGGGTTGGTGTCGTGTAAATCCTTCCTGGCATCGATCTCATTGGTTGATAACTTCAGAAATATCCTTAAATTAAATGAGGTTTGAATAAGTATGTAAACCAAATTCATTCACAAATAAAACTTGAGTCAACTGGGTTGTTGACAGATGTATTCTTTCTGTCTTGAGCGACGTGATAGACCTTGGACGATGCAAAACATTTCTAAACTTTGATTGGTGTTCACTGATATCAATTTATGTCAGCCTTGATTTTTTAAGCATAACAAACATAAATGTCAAGAACTTTTGCCGGTTGGTCTTCAGCTTCACCCATAACGCTGTCATTGGGAGTCAATCTGTTCTTGGGCTTACTAACCGACTCCGATATCAATTTTATTGCGGGTGGATCGAAGTGGTGATCCTCCACATCAATCCAATGTGCTACAACAGCCTCTTCTTCTCATCTCAGTAGATGAGTTCTTCTCCTTTTCTTCTCATACACATGAACCATGGGTCTTATTATTCCTCTTGATTCTACAATAAACTCATGATTCTTTAGTATATATAGGAAAATGAATGGTTAATATGTATAATTGATTTTATATACAATATAAGTTGAATTTTGAGTTAAATCTGAAATATCAAATTTTATAACTTGGACGATATTTCATCCTTTATCATAATCAAGACTGAAATGAAACAGCTTAAGAATCTATGGGCCCAATTGGGAGGTGGATGAAGATATAGGGAAATGGTTTGATGGGTCCAGTGGGATGAAACCCATTAGCTGTAACCGTACGTAAAGCCATTAGAGGCAGTCCTTCACGTGTTCTAAGAATATTTTTATAATATCAGCTGACTGCAACTGTAACGCCGTGACGTCGATATTCGTTGATACCTGCTGAAATCCGATTAAGACAGTTGACCGTGGACAGCTCCGAATTCAAGCCCAGTATTTGGGCTTAGGAAGGAAAGAGGTTAATTAAGCTTAAGCCACGACGCTCTTTGGAAAATTTCAGTAATCGTCATAATCATATCACCTCTTACTAATCTAAACAAGTGTATAGCCTGAAATAAATAATAGAAAGAGCAAATAAATTACATTATTAATTGATGTATAAATGATCAATATTTATGTCTTTCATTTATTAGCAAAATAATAACAGTCGCTTTTAAGCGCATCCTCTAATACATTTTCATTGCGTGCAATTTCTTGAGAGGACCAATAAGAGCTAGCATATAGTCATGAAATGGATGAAGAGAAAAACAAGAAGTCAAGAACAAAGCATCGCAAAATTTCTAGTTTATTCCACTACATTAAGGTAAATAACAACAAATAAACCATCACAAATTGTTAAAAGTTGTTGAAAAAGACTAGAATAGAAGTCGAACAGCCCTACAATTATCAATCACCGCCAAACTTCATACCCTCGGCCACTTTCTTGAAAGCTGGCCTAGAAGTAATATCCTCCCACCAAGCCTTCACATGGGGACGTTCATTTATAAGTGAAGCAAAAGGAGTCTTCATGAAATAATAAGTGTAAGAAAGATGGTGCAAATCAGCCAAGCTATAGAAATCTCCTGCAAGATACTTGGTGCTACTGAGCTTAGTCTCGTACATGTCAAGCACTTGCCCTAGCTTCACTAAGTTTGCATCAATGATGGCTTGATCTGGTGTTTTGCCTTGTATCGGCGCCACAAAGAATTGGTACACAGTCGAAGACATGGGTGGGTGGAATTGTTGCGATTCAACTTCGAGCCATACCTTTACCAATGCCGCTTCTTTCAGGTCTTTGTGCCTCAAAAGATCAGTGCCGGTTTCCTTGAATTTTTCAGCAACGTATGATGTGATTGCTCTAGATTCTAGCATATATAACAGTTAAGTTTATGAGGGTTTCGTTCAAAAATAAAATAATTGAATGAGTTACATGAGAGAAGGAAGAAAAATTAAAGCTTACCAAATAAAGTGAGGTCATTGTCTTCTAGAGCTGGAATCTGACCAAAGGGCTGCCCTAACCAAAAAGAGATTTTAATTAGAAAATAGAGTTTAATAGTGGAAACCATCAGTGATTATAGAGGAGAAGTTAATTACATTCTTGGCTAGAAAAGCTGGTTGCTTGTGTTCAGCTGCAAAAAGATTAACGGGGACAAGCTCGAAATCCACAGATTTTTCATGTAGACAAGTCATCACACGCGTGGTGCAGGTAGACATTGGGGCTCCATACAGTTTCAGCGCCATTCTGTATTTGTGTGTTGAGAGAGAAATCAAATTTACACAAGTGAAAGAGAGTAAGGGCTCTATATATAGGCTTCACACCCTGAGATGGCTGAAGTTCATATTTCAATTTCTATAATGTTTTCATGTTTATAATTGGCTAAATTAATAAAATTAAATCTTACTGACTAAGAGGCATGTAAGACAACAATATTCTTCTTTAAAAAAAGAAAAGAAAAAGAATTTCTCCCAAACTCCGATATGTATGATGTAAGGCATAAAAAAAAATTCACTAACATGAGTTAACCAAGAGTTAAAGCTATCAAAATTTCTATTATCAGTTATTAATAATTTTTAATATGGTATAAAATATCAGATTAAGACAATAACAAAACCATATATAAGCCTGTAAATATGAGGCCTGCATTACAATTGGGAGGAGGAAAAGTTGGCTAAACCTTTCTCTTATTTACATGTTCTAAGCCCCACACCAAATGATCGATTAATTAATATATGCACGTCGACAAATTTGTCAATAATACAATAAATGAATCTTTTAACAAGACATTCTCAAGCGGCCATCCTAATGAAGTTATACAGTAATTCAAGAAAATCATTCAAGTCAAGCATCGTTGTTGACGAGCAGGAAGATATATACAAGACACCAATCAACCCTTTGAAGAATTAATAACCAAAGATAGAAGACACCAGTACAGCAAAAAGAAATAACTCAATTTTGAAGACAAATTATTTGTTATTTAAAACTTATTAACTATGAAAATATCACAGCATATATATGATATTATGGGAAGGGCCATATATTTCAGTTGGAATAAGTTGATTAAAATTAAATAAATGAGGCTGATTCAGTGACTAGTTAACTAGGGTTTGTTTGTCAACATGTCGAGTAAATCAGTGCCTATAAGATGAAGAAGGGAAAAAATTGGCAACTCGTGATGGTTGTGCTGATCTGCATCTGCATCTGCATCAGCATCGGCATCAGCTCTGTGTAGTTGTGTTTTATTATTGCATGTGTTTTCTTATTCATTGGAAAGGTAAACTTGCAGGTTTTTATAAACATTGATGAGTTAGGTATTGACTTGGTTTTATCCCTTTGAATTTCCATTGGAACACTACTATATTTATTACCCACCTATTTCTTACCCTTTCTTTTTTTATTATAATATATGCAATTTGAAGTTCATTACATTTCTTAAATCTTTACACCAAGTACTGGGCAAAGGCCTAACATAATGATGTTGCTTAGCTGTAAAAATGAGAAACCATATATATATATATTCTACAACCTTCCCTCATCATCATCTTATTAATATATTTAGTGGTATAATTATGATACTTAATGGATTGGAATTTAGGTATGCTCACCTATTGTAAACATAGGGGAAAGACTATGAAATTGATATGATATTCAGCAATTTGCCTAAAAGTTACAACAATTACAAACGGGATTACTTCTTTGTTGCAATATCAATATGAATACATTATATCAACAGTGGCATGATATGTTAGGAGCTAATTAGGAGAAATGATGAAGAGTCATCCTCTCACTCACATGATCACAGACATCCAAGGACCTTGCTGCTCCAGCCACATGGGCTGTGCCTCATAAAATGAAAAAATAAAAATAGAAGGTATAGTCTAGATATGATCCAGTCAAACCACAATTTTCGGTGCATCAATATAAAAATGGTCGGCTTCATATTGAGATTTGTTCTTAATCTTGTGAAAACACAGAATTTCAAATAAAATACAGAAGAAATTCTAGTTAATACAAGTTTAACTTGATACATAACTGTCATGGTTAGACGACAAGTTTTCAACACCAGAAGTTTGAGATGGTAAACGCTTTTACCGCATTGATTAATAGATGCTCTCAAATCTCAACTCTCTTAGTCGTATCGTTGTTAATAAAATAAATAAATCAACTGTAAGAGGTTATAAAACCAAGTAAAAACAAATACAAATCAATAACATATGCCGCAATGAATGAAATCAATTAATTAATTAAAAAGATTAATAGATGCTTTTGTGCCTTGGTCTCGACTCTCTCATCCTGTGTACCTTGTTTTGTGCTGAGTGAGTCTGAGGAGCTTCTCATTCTCGAAATTCAAACTTTTTGTTGATTAATCCCAATGTGTAAATAAGCAGTCACAAGTAAAAATTGCTGACCCAACTTACCATTTCTAGTTGAATTTCACCCCATTGTCAAAATGTTTGAAAACTACAACCACAAAGAATTCTGACAATACCACAGGGTATCCTATACTGAAACAGCCAAAATTATTTTGGATTCAATAAACCTTTTTTTCTGCAGCCGACAAGGATTCTGGATCACAAAATATTAGTATCAGAACCCTCTCTTTAGGTTTACTTGTCATACTAACCTTTAAAAACTGGTTCCACAAGATTAACCATTTAATTCAATCAGATACACATGAGCTTGAATCTTCTTTTATTCTGAAATTAAAAAACCAAATCACAAGTTGTTTATTATATTAATTTCCACCAGGGACATGGATACTACAGGACAGGGAAACTCTTTGCACCCATCCTTAAAGACTGCAAGTTGCAGAATGTTAGTAAGCCCAGGTAAGATAAACTAGTAAACATTAGAAACAGAGGTACAATGAAAGTCTTGATCAAAGATTTAATTGAAGTCCATCTCGGGTGTAGATACAAACACTGAATTTCCACTTAAAATTTCATGTGCAGAGCACTGTTTGTGACCCATAAAAAAAGATTTGTTTAGTGGAATTCATATAAAATATTTACAACTCACACAACAGAGGTTTACCATATTTTTACCACCATCTTGTCCTTCTAGGAATTACACTATTTGTAAGGGAAGGCCTTGATTACCTTTTTTTTCCTTTCAAATTAAAGTGAAAAAAAGTTAATTGAGTGGCAGATTTTACAGGTATATATACTCGTATTTACATCGAACAACATAATACGAGGCAACTCTACAATACCATACAGTATTGACACTGGTGATAAGGGTTACCTCAGCCTTATCCACCTTTATCCAGTGATCCTTAAGGTTCCAGTATCGATACATGAAGGTATCATATAAATTTTCCATTAAGATACACCTCTAGATTACATGAACAGGTGAAAAAAGAGAGTTAAGGTAAAAATATACTTTATATATTGCCTAGATATCCAGATTTCAAATAGCCTTTCAGAACACTGCTTCTGGCTTTAGAAAGTTGTGATATTCAATTTGCGTCATTTCTCCACCATTAACCGGGTCAAATTCGCATCGATAGAAGCTGCATTCATAATCACTCGGATATAAACAATTTGATTCCATAAAATTACTCTCTAATTGAGGAGAAAAACATAAACATAGCAATGAAATGTGTCAAAAAGAGATAAGACAGGGTGTCAGAATCAGACCAAGGAAAGAATTCGTAAAAGACAAAAACCCAACAAAAATATGATATCTTCACAGATTTTGGTGCCAGGAGGAAATTTCTAGGAAATGCACCGTGCAACTCTTAAGTTGAATTTTGTTCCATATCAGAAACCGAACAATGGTACAATACGTATGATGACCTATTTAGTATTTATACAAGGTGAGGCATAGAGGACTCAAAACTACTCACAGCAAAATATACTTTACTTCACTGAAATGGTTACGAAAGCATTATTTTACAAGTGACTTGTTAGGATGCAGTTAAGGGTCATATGTCAAAAATTGGCATGTTTAATTATCATGTTAAACAAGTAAAGCCGATTTAAACCATAACAATGCTTTGCCAAAACAAAACCTAATGTATCAAGTTAAAGATGTGGTTAAGGGTCATATGTCAAAAATTGCAATCCCTGACGGTCAGTGTCTAATTGATCAGTTGGTCTCCTCACAGTAACTCAAAAAATTTCCACCACCCTGCATTCATTTCATTACCTTCCATCCATGCCAAGGATTACCACTGTATTCTTTTGGTGACCAAAGGCAACAATGTATGCAGAACCCTCAACCAAGCGGAACTGAGCCACTGACCACTCTGAGCTGAAATACTTGGGCAACACCCCTGTAAGAGAAAGGCATATTAGTAATGGGAATAGAAAAGAGAATTTCCACACCTTTCTGGGCAATAAACTGTTACATGTAACTTATTCATTAACCCTTTGTAAACCTGTAGCCAAAAAAAAAAAAAAAAAAAAAAAAAAAAAAAAAAAAACCGAGTAGAAAAATCTAGAATTGAGAATATAAAACTTCTATTTCCTATTGACAATATTATCAATTAGTAATATATCCAATACATATGAGAGATGACTATAACATTGTAGAGTGACAAGAATGGGATATCTTAGGAAAAAATAGCAAGACTCTGCTGTTAAGAGCAGCAGAAGTTGTGAAGAATAAGGCCCTTCATACATATTGAAACAACCACAAATACTAAAACGAACTTAAATACTAGAGTTGAATTGGAAGTCAGAGAAGAAGTCTTTGGAGAAATCAGAGGTCTGTCAGCACGGACCTCTTGTTAATTATAACATGGCTTATTCTTAGACATATTATTAAAGCCAATCAAAACTTCATTGACTCCCTACTTGAGTGTCATTCATTAACTAGGACATCGTCATCTCGTCCAAACAACTCTGTGTATCCAAAGACAGTTCGAAAAAAATCTATTTCATTGACCTAAAAATAAAAATAAAAAAAATTCCTGGCGGTTTAAATGCATGGAGAGATAATTCATCAATGGCATCTCATAAGCGCACATACACCTTTCATAAGTTCAGAGAAGGAATTTTGCAGCCTCATTACAATATACTTGGCTCAAGGTCTGGTGTCTTAAATTGTCCATTCAATTTATTTGTGTGTTTAAGGGCGACAAATCAATTATCGCCAAAACATTTCCAAAGAAACCTTACTGATCCATGTAATAATTGGAGAAGCAAAAAAATAAATTACTGCAGTCAGAAGTAAAGGTACTCGACCTTTGATGAAAGAGAGGGATGAGGTAGGCGATGAGGTAAAACTGGGATCAGATGAAGTTCGTTGATTGTCAGTTCTTGGGGATCCAGAATTAACCTTAAGATTGAAAACATGGACAGTGCCCTTATCACTTGAGACTGCCAGCCATTGGGCATTTGAAGAGAAGGCCAGACTATAAATCTCCGCTCTATCAGCGCCCCTCCTCACCTACATTCCATATTCAATTAGTTCCAACCTAATGGCAAAATGCTAGGATGTACATTAAAGCAATTCACAATTTACAGTTGTCAAACCAAAAAAGCCAAGAACCAATCGCCAATACATCAAAGAAAAAAAAATTAAAAACAACAATATTTAGCTTTCCTCATTAACATTCATAAGCGAAATTAAGGAAGGATGTTACGATCTACCAAACAAAAACATGATATTCAAGTTAAACCCACCAGCAATAATGGCTAATAAACAAATTTACGTTTTCCTAACTTAATAAACGCAGTAAACATAGTGAATGTAAAGCCTTAGCAACACCAGAACAATTTCATCGTAACCTATAGAAAATTAATATTCACTCAAAGGGTTTTCCAATAATATTAGGGAAAAAGACATGCTTAATTTTAATCAAAAGCAATTAAGCATACCTCTTGCAGCAAGGTACCATCAAGAGTATTAAAAATGCGAACAAGGGTTCCTTTGGTACTGGCCGTTGCAAGCAACTGTCCATCTTGAGTCAACGCGAAACACGCAATTCTTGAATCGTGAGCCATAATAAACTTTGTCCTTTTGGAACCGTAATGTTCCACCCTAACCTGTCCCTTCTGTAGCCCAGGACACACCAACACCAACGACCCAGTCACCTGAGACACCGCACATAACCCTTTCGGATTTGAAATGGTTTCAATTTGATGTAACAGCTTCAAATCTGCGAAATTGTACACGAATATCTTCTGTTCCAAAACCACCACGATTCTGTCACGACGGAGTTTCACCGATCGAACCTCTGACCTAAACGACAGCTCACCGATGCAACGGCTTTGATGGTCGTCCCAGATCATCACCTTATTAAGGGGATATTGTGGGTCCGGTCCACCACCAACAAGGGCTAATATATTGCATCGGAAAAGCATTTCAACGACTCCGATCCCTCCACCGCGGTCAAAATCTCGACGAAATATCTCCCGGAAAGGGTCACAATTGTAGATCTGGAAGCCGTGGTCGGTGCCGGCAGCGAAACAGCCATGGTCTTGGTTGAAGGAGAGGTGAAGGAGGGATGGCGGCGGCGCTGATGCAGGTGAGGTGGATTCGCTAGGGGAAGAAAGCGGGGTGTGAAAATTGGGGTTGGTATTGGGAATAGCAGGAGAAAAAGGGTCGGATTGGTCCTGAGACATTGAAGAATAAGAATCAAGGTTACGGAGCTGGTCGTCGGAAGGAATGAAATCAGAATTAGGGTTAGGGTTAGGGTTAGGATTGGAATTGAGATTGGGATCTGGATTGGGGTCTGGCCAAGGAGATGAATACTCAGAAAGAGTAGCCATGGAAGGAAGGAGGATCTAGGAACCAAAGATTTGTTCGCAGAAGCCTTTGCAGATGATATGGTTACTTTTTAGTTTTTACAGGAATGACGATAATAATACTCTTGCTGAAAATACGATATTATCCTCTTTGTTATGATAGAAGGGAAGGACATAAATGTCCTTTTGAGGATGTAGTGTTTGATATAAATATAATATCGTTATTCGTTAATTTAGGGACACGTAAGTAGTATAGAATATAGATGCATGACGCGTCTCGATAAAGGTAGTAAGTGGGAAGGGGGACAACTGAAACTTCATCTCCACGCTATTATTGTTGGGAAGTCTTAGTGGTTGAATGATACGCTGACCCTTTTCGAGCCGCCAGTTTTATCAAACTCCGTTTTGCGAAAGATTCTAATTAAATTTAAAGAAATTCAAAGCAATTGAGGTGGTTGTTTGATGAGCCATATACTAATACAACTCCCTCAGGTAATCAATGACCAACATATAATCACTGCCGATCTCATTAATTTGATAAGAAATTATTTTTATTCAAACCAGGAAGTATGATCTGACTATTATTATACTAAGAGCGTATCTTAAGTTTTTCTGTGAGTGCACACGCACATGTCCGCAAAAATCTTCTCCAAAATTAGCTTTATACTTGATGAGTTACAATTTTGTAGTATTTTTGTTTTTTCAAATTTCAATCCACTTGATTACTTTGAGATATTTATTTTAAAACCTTCTCACTTTGAGATATCTATCATCCTCGTACATACAGCTAGAATGATTATCCATAAATTAAATAAAAAAATCCTACTTCAAGCAAATTATATATATATAAGGGCATTGTTAAATTTATTGAATCCTTTCCAACATAGTTCTTCTTGATGCTTGATTTTGACACCAACGACTCATACATGTAAAGTACTAAACGGACTTAAAAATTACACGTGATATGAAAATATGAAATGAGAGGATAAATGAGAAGTGGTTTTTAAAGTTGTTCAGATGCTCAAAAATGAATCATACATCCACTATTGTTATATTAATAGATGGGTAAAGTCAAGTCGCGCGTGACGAGCTGAGTTACAATCTAGAGAGAATACACAGAGAGAGAGAGAGAGTGTGTGCTGTTTTAGACTAAGATAAGTCAATCCCGCAAATGAAAGGGGAGTCCTCTATTTGTAGTGAGAGAATTCAAGGTAATGATTACAAGTCTACAAGTGGGTAGGTGTCGTGCAAGTCCTTCCTTGCATCCCATTGGTTATCTGTACGAGAAATATCTTTAAATTGCGTAAAGCTTGGGCAAGTGGACGATTCCTGGCCACTTGCAAGCTTGACGTTCACCTACTGCATTAACAAGAACCAGATCTCTTCCGTCATTGCGCGACATGGCAACGTCTAAACGACACAAAACCTTCCTGAATCCTGATTGGCTCTTACTGACTAGAGTCCACGTTAGCCCTAACTTTTTAGGCACAATAGTTCTGATCTTAGCATCTTCTTCTGCTTCTATTGCTCATCTACTTCCCCTCTCTATTCCTGCAATTAACAAATTTGTTTAATTTTAGTGAACGTTCGGTAATAGGTTGAAGATCAGAGGATTAGATCGACCACCAATTGCACCACCCTTGTTTCCGAAGAAAGATAAATTGAGCTTGGTAGCAATTGCATTACTACTCATCTTATCACCACCCTTTTCTTTTTTGTCTTACCATCAGGTTTTCTACACACTCTTTAACGTGTCTATAAGTTCTTTAACAACCACGTGAATTTCTCCTATTTCTGTAAGTATGAATGGTGCGATTACATATGATACGAGCTTCAAGGTAATGACTAGAAGGTTTGTTTAAGCTAGCTTTCATCTAGAGTGAACTTCATGGAATGATTCCACTTGGCGCTCTTACATCCGTCATTGTCTATGGGAGTCTTACTACTCATTGTCGTGGTCACAGGTAGGGGTGTTCGGTTCCGGATACCCTGCATTTTTTAAAGGAATCGGTATTGGAACCGACAGTTCCTTGAAATTTGGAACTAGAACCGAAACCGATGGTTCAAGTTCCTCGGTTCCGGTTCTGGGTATCCTATAAAATTCATGATCCCCCAAAAGTTTTTAAAATGACAAAAAAACCCTTAAAAACTTACAAATCCCCCCCTAGCACTTGTTAACAAAAATAAAATTACAAATTATAAATTCAAAATTACAAACTCCATTACTTTGTAAAGGTAGATTCTCAAAAGTCAAACCAACTTACTTTAAATGTTATGAAATATAAATATAAATATATTCACATTATTTTTTCTACAAAAGTTTTTATTAACCCCTTACTCTTTAATTTTATTTTATATTAGTCTCGGTTTCTGGTTCCGATAATTAGGAACCGCACAGTAACGGTTCAAAAAATTTGGAACCGGAACCTACCCATTGACAGTTGGTTCTGGGTAAGAACCGGAACCAAACCTTAGATACTCGTAAGTTCCGGTTCCAATCGGTTCTTTTAAGCACCCCTAGTCGTAGGAGATGGTGGTGGTTACATAGACATTGAGCTTCACCATTTTTTAGGTTTTTTTGCAGAGATTATGGTTATCTCCAAGCTTCCTTGTGTTTTGAGAGCTTGAAATGAAAAAGATATTGGGATTGGAGGTGGCGGTGGGCCGTGTCTAAAAATTCAAGGCTCATCGTATCGTGGGCCGTGTCGTGCCAAGGCCCACAAAAATTCGTGCCGTGTCGGCCCATCAAATTTGAAGGCCTACAACACGGCCCACTACATATTGTGTCGTGAGTCGGCCCACTTGTTTTGTAAAAATATATAATTTCAATATTTATAAATGATAGTAATTTTGATTTATAATTAATAATTATTATAAAAATATTTTATATGTTATATTTAGTGACATTTTGTATTTATATTAATTAAAAAAATATATAATCATTATAAAATGTATAAAATAATGACACATTGAAATATTAATTGAATTTCAACACTTTTTATTGTTTATAAGTTATAATTATAAATACAAACTTAAAAATTAGGATTAAGAATTATTATACATCTTAATTTTCATTAATTTCTAAGGGTGTATTTGGTTTATTATTTTGGATAAGATTTTGGGAAAATATTGGGTAGTTGAATAGGAGAGTATTACGAGGTAAAATTTAAAAATTTCTAAAAAACCCCATAAGTTTGCTAATTTAATTAAATACCCCAATATATAAATTTTTTGTAAAATAACAAAAACACCCCCATCACCCGCAGTGCCAGATTCCGGCCACCACCACGGGAATTTGGCTGAAAAATTGTGTTACGACACAGACATGTTGAATCTGTGTCGTACTGCGTCGATATGACCTTTTTTGGCCAGATCTATAGCCAAATGTGGTCGTCGAAAGCCGGAAAAAGCCAAAGATATGGTCGTGGTTTTCGGTCAATGATGGCCAGATTTGGCCTTTTCTGGCCAGATCCACTGTGGACTGGCCGAAAAAGGCTAGATCGGTGAACTACTGGCCAGTTATGGTCGTGGTGTAGGCCGTTGTATATATTTCGGCTACCACCGACGGTGATTACTGGAATCTAGCAAGTATGGGTTGATGGGGGTATTTTTGTTAATTTTTAAACCTTTTTTTTTTGGTATTTATGAAATTAATAAACTTTAGGGGTCTAAAAGTAATTAAATTTTTTTTCAAAAAATGTGTCAAACAATATTTGGGGAATATGGATAGAAATAGGGAGCCAAACACACCCTAAATTCTTATAATTTAATTTTTCATAATTTTTTATTTTTTTGGTGCTATGCCTATGTGCCGACACGGCGCCGACTCTAATTGGAATTTATATTATATATGCAGTAGCTAGGACGCAATGAGACGTTTACTTTGAAGTGCCAGTTGCAATGCAAGAAAATTGCAGAGTCTGATTCCTGAAGATATGAGAAGAATTATCTGCTATGTTATTAATTAGGAAGGAACGTCAAAAAGTCAACATGATAGGCTATGTTTGGCTTAGTATTTTTATCTATATTCTGGATCTATTCTCAAAATAATGTTTGACGCATTATTTCAGAAATATTACCCTATTTTTTAATTACTTTTAGACCCTATAAGATTATTAATTTCACTAAATACCCCTTGAAAAAAAGTTTAAAAATTAACAAAAACACCCCCATCAACCCAACTCGTAAGATTCCGGCAACCACCGTCGGTGATAGCCAGAATCTGTACAACAGCCTAACTTCCGACCAGAAATGGCCGGAAGTTCACCAATGTGGTCTTTTCCGGTCGTCGACGTCCATAACAGACCGTAGATCTGGCCTTTTCCGGCAAGATCCACCATGGATCTGGCCGAAAAAGGTCATAACGACGTGTTACAGCACAGATCCAACCGGTCTGTGCCGTAACAAAATTTTCCGGCCAGATTCCGGCGGTGGTGGCCAGAATCTGGCACTGCAGGTGGTGGGCGTATTTTTGTCATTTTATCTGTTAGGGTCTTTAATTAAATTAGTAAACCTGAGGGTTTTTTTACAAATTTTTAAAATTTACCTCGTAATACTCCCCTATCCAATAACCCAATACTATCCCCAAAATTCTATCCAAAATACTAAACCAAACGCACCCATAATTATCCGAAATACAAGTCAATATGGGAATATGAACACTTTGCATCGGTCAGTGCACTGTCACTGGTTCATGCCTGCCTACAGCGGCGGTACTGAATCGAATTTGTGTATAGAATGACGTGATAAAATCTTGATCATTGATTAATTTTAACTTAATATTAATCAACGGTTGATTAATTTTAACTTAATATTAATCAACGGTCAAAATTTTATCACGTCATTCGGTGCACAAATTCAGTGCACTACTATCAGTGGCTATAGCATTACTCGCCTAACAAATGATAAATTTTCGTTTGTTTCACTTTTGGGAGTATTCCCAAAAAAGTTAAACGGTAAAATATTATTATTCTCAAAATATTATTTTATATTTTTCAATTTATTTTAAATTTTATGAATTTATTAATTTAACTAAACACCCTCAAATATTTTTTTTAGAAATTACAAAAATACTCTGATCATCCTCTAACGGTGACGACCGACTGTCCATATTTAATGGATGGGTTAAAGGTGTTTTTGTTAATTTTTAATATTTTATTATAGAGATGCTTAGCAAATAAACAAACATAAGTGCGTTTGGTTTAGTATTTTGGATAGGATTTTAGGGATAGTATTGGGTTATTGGATATGGGAGTATTATGAGGTAAATTTTAAAAATTTATAAAAAATGGCCTTTTGCAGAGATTATGGTTATCTCCAAGCTTCCTTGTGTTTTGAGAGCTTGAAATGAAAAAGATATTGGGATTAAAGGTGGCGGTGGGCTGTGTCTAAAAATTCAAGGCTCATCGTATCGTGGGTCGTGCCATGCCAAGGCCCAAAAAAATTCATGCCTTGTTGTGCTGTGTCGGCCCATCAAATTTGAAGGTCTACAGCACGGCCCACTACATATCGTGTCTTGCCTTGGGCCGTGTCGTGAGTCGTGCCATGAGTCGGCCCACTTGCTTTGTAAAAATATTTAATTTCAATATTTATAAATGATGGTAATTTTGATTTATAATTAATAATTATTATAAAAATATTTTATATGTTATATTTAGTGACGTTTTGTATTTATATTAATTAAAAAAAATATAATCATTATAAAATGTGTAAAATAATGACACATTGAAATATTAATTGAATTTCAACACTTTTTATTGTTTATAAGTTATAATTATAAATTATAAATACAAACTTAAAAATTAGGATTAAGAATTATTATAGATCTTAATTTTCATTAATTTATAAGGGTGCATTTAGTTTATTATTTTGGATAAGATTTTTGGAATAATATTGGATAGTTGAATAGGGGAGTATTACGAGGTAAAAATTAAAAATTTCTAAAACACCCCATAGGTTTGCTAATTTAATTAAATACCCCAATATATAATTTTTTTGTAAAATAACAAAAACACCCCCACCACTCGCAGTGCCAGATTCCGGCCACCACCGTCGGAATCTGACTGGAAAATTGCGTTACGACACAGACTTGTCGGTTCTGTGTCGTAATGCATCAATATGACATTTTTCAGTCAGATCTATAGCCAAATGTGGTCGTTGACGGTCGAAAAAAGCCAAAGATATAGTCGTCATTTTCGGTCAACAATGGCCATTTCTTTGGCCATTGCTGACGGCGAGATCTGGCCAGTTCTAGTCGTGGTGTAGGCCGTTGTACAGATTTCGGCTACCACCAACGGTAGTTACCGAAATCTGACAAGTATAGGTTGATGGGGGTATTTTTGTTAATTTTTAAACTTTTTTTTGGGTATTTATGAAATTAATAAACTTTAAGGATCTAAAAGTAATTAAATTTTTTTCTGAAAAATATGCCAAATAATATTTGAGAAATAAGATTGAAAATATGGATAAAAATAGGGAGTCAAAGTACCCTAAATTCTTATAATTTAATTTTTCATAATTTTTTTATTTTTTTTGGTGCTATGCCTATGTGCCGACACGGCGCCGACTCTAATTGGAATTTATATTATATATGCAGTAGCTAGGACGCAATGAGACGTTTACTTTGAAGTGCCAGTTGGCAGTTGCGATGCAAGAAAATTACAGAGTCTGATTCCCGAATATTAATGGGTAATGTTACATTTACACCGTTCATTATATCATTTTCATTATACTATTTTTATTTTATTAATAATTATTTTATTATAATATTAAAAATTTAAAATAATTAAAAATTTATATAGATGTAGGATATACCATATTATAATGTAATAAAAATGATGTAATGGATGGTATAAATATAACATTACTCGTTATTAATTAGGAAGGAGCGTCAAAAAGTCAACATGATAATTATCAAAAATACAAGTCAATATGGGATTATGAGCACTTTGCATCGATCAGTGCACTGTCACTGGTACATGTAACATGCCTACCTAACAAATGGTAGGTTTTCGTTTGCTTCGCTTTTTTTTTAGTATTCCTAAAAAAGTTAAACAGTAAAATATTATTATTCTCAAAATATTATTTTATATTTTTTAATTTCTTTTAAACTTTCTGAATTTGTTAATTTAACTAAACATCCTTAAATATTTTTTTTAGGAATTATAAAAATACTCCGACCACCTGTCAATGGTGACTGCTGACTGTCCGTATTTAATAGATGAGTTGGAAATGTTTTTATTAATTTTTAATATTTTATTATAAAAATGTTTAGCAAATAAATAAATATATATGATATTTTTATTAATTTCTAAATCTTACATATAATACCAGTCTAATTTAACTTTTTTTAAAATATTATTTTAAAAACTATAGAATAATGATCCAAACGAACCTGAATAATCTTGTATTATGGCGTTATTGATTAATGTTTCAATCCGCTATTTCTTTATTTACTTTTTTTTTTTTATTGTATATTAATCGGCGGTATCTTGCCAAGCCCAAGGCTTTAGCACAACAGGCCCAATCCATTAAGAAAACACACCGCAAAAGCAAGCCCTTAAACCCCATAGTAAATTATTCTTACTCCCAAAATATTTTCTTGCATTCGGACTAAAAGACATGGAAGACACAAGTAAATAAGACAACACACAGCAAAGCAAACCGTTTAAAGTTAGAAGCGCCCAATAATCTTTATAATAAATAGATTATCTTTCCCAAAATATTTTCTTGCATTCAACATTGCGTGTAGCAAAATTAATACCATCAGGAAGCATCATAATATTGGGCAAACTTTTTCCGAATATTATAGATAAAAGAATATGAATTCGTCAAATAAAGAGGAGATGAGTTTAAATCTATGAACTTATTTACAAATGGAATCTCATGATAACCAAACCAGACAACAGCTTTCTCAAAGAATAATTTTAATAAATCCACAAGTTCTAGGTATTAAAAAGAAAAAAAAAAGAAACAAACAAACAATGAAACAGACGTAATTTTATTTTCCAAATTAATAGATTATAAGTAAAGGAGACTAAGAGAATAGTAGAAATTTTTTACAAGATACTCCGTGATCATGCAGAAGTTCAGTTCCATAAATCAATCAGAAGATATTGAAACCACAGAATTAAAATGGCTCAACCTATTTCACACCATAAATCTTACCCTCAGTGTTTTAACAAGTTTTTAAACCCAGAGTGACCATTCACTCTATCCCCGGAAACAAGAGAGGCCATATGCTAAAGATCACTTCGCACTTGCCCTAGTGCAGAGATTTTTGTGCTCCCTATTAAAAGTAGCCTCAGTGCACTGATAACTGCACGACTCTGGATGAATCTAACCTAATGACAGTATCCTGCAAAAGGAATGAAGTAATACTCCTTTCTCCAAAAAGAACCCCAATGTATCATCTTGAAATTTGAGAGAAATATGTACATAAAATAATGCTCTCACCATCTTCCGTGACCTGAACCTCTTTCCTGTGAAAAAGTTGACCAAATTATCATCTGATTGAAATTGCATATATTGCTTCCACTGAACTAGTGCAGAAGACAACTTTGCAATATTCTAATAAAGTCAACAACTTGCATTACACTACTGCAATAAGAAATGGAACTCTGTTCCCAAAATTTATCTATAAAAATGGAAAAAGTTGACAATAAAGGAAAGGTTATATCTGCAGCTAATGTTTAAGGCAAATTGGCTTGACTGATTGACAAAACATATGTTTCTTTATATGACTTGTATAAGCATAATTTCTTCTAATTAGATTTAGAATTATCAAACCCTTCAACAATAATTAAATTCTGACATACATACCACGGGGGGTGAATCCGAATTGACTTCCCAGCTTCGAGGTCAACATCACAGCAAACTCTTGGATTAAAAATAATTGTCCTTTCTCTTCCATCATTTACCGTTGTTTTGTTAAACTCTGGCCATTTTATGCTCTGCATATGCAAGCACGCACTTTATTTTTCCTTCACCAAGAACAAACAGACATGAATCTGTATTTAATCAAAACATGCAGCTGGATGCACATCTAACAGGATTTATCATCTAAATCTCATTCAGTTCTGACATGCACAAGCATGCAGATATACATAGCCTGTGTGTGAGGTAAGTGAAGGGTAGAAAACTTTGGTCAAAAGGAAAGTAGCATTTTAAGCAACCAATCACAGCTCACAGTCAGAAAGAGCAAGAAAGGTGAAAAATGTTAGAGAAAGAGAACCTTGTATTTCATTTTACAAGTCGCAACCCATAGGCTGTAAGAAAATTATTGGCATTAAGGAAAACTTCAAATTTTAAGAGCAATTCTCAATGAAAGTAGATGATGCGTAACATAGAAATTTATAAAACACTACAGCTTTGAAACTTGTCAGAATATTGAAAAGAGTGAAGATTCAGGGCTTCATCAACATGATTTTATAGAGAATGCAAATTCAACTTGTTCTCAGATTCAAATATGACCTCAATGTCCTTCACAGAAGAGACACGACAAACTATCAACTTTGCGTCCAAGTATCTTGAGAGGATTCTTACATCCATGCAGCTTGGATCTGAGGAAAAATGTAAAAGAAGACCCAAAATGAGAAGGCGGGTAAAAATACATTGACAAATTGTTTGTGTTATAAGTCTACGTAAGTCAATTTTCCATGACTGTAAGTCTGTATTAGCTTTCTTGAACCACTAAAAAAAGAGGCAACAACTTACTATTTGGGCTAGCTCTGCTCTGTAAGTTCAAAAAGTTCATATCTTTCAACTTCTCACTCTGCATGACCTGCTGCAACTTCCCAAATAACCCAACTCTGTGGATTCAAAAGCACCAAAGCACAGTTGATATAGGGTTACTCTTATGAAATGTACTTTTATTAACATTTTAAGGCATGCACAATGGAAAACTCAAGCTCATCATTTACCCAGATGTTCTTTGTACAGTAACAAGGGCTGTTGCATCATTTGAGGTAGCACCTAGAGCTTCCTGAAATCTATCTGCAATAGTTTGCCTCTTCATCTCGGGGAATGCAGTTTTTACATTTTGATGATTGGCCTATGTGATCATGCAACTAGGATGACATAATCAGTGGTGAAGATAAAACTATAAGAAAGTAATGACATCCAAGTAATACCTCATCATCACTTGATCCACTCATGCGTTCAGGGAGGTCTTCAGTGACGATGGCTCTGTCTTCCAGTGGTGACTTACTTTTCTTTACAACTTGGATCTTTTCCCCTCTACTTCTGCTATACTGCAATATATACTTGATTAAACAGGGTACAGAGTGTTGTAAAAGGAAGAAAAACTACTGGTCAAAAGGAATGCTACCTTCTTGGAATTTCTTTTCAGCAGACTAGTCCTATCCTGAAGCCCATCTAAAAGCTCAGCCACTGAACACTCACCATAGAAATGCAGATCTTCTACTTCAGCAGACACAATCTCTGATTTCTTGGGTTTTTCTCCGTAGAAATCTTCAAAAAGCTCGGCAATTGAATGCTCTCTAGAGTTGGCTGTTTCCAACCTTTCAGGTACTTCATGAACCTTGGATGGCACACCATTGCCATCCTTATGTGACTGGAAGTGGAATGAAAATTTTGGCCTGGATTTACTTTTGATTCCTGCAGAGCATAAATAAACAGGTACTCTTCATTGAAGAAAAAAGTACCATTCTCCAAAAAGCCATATAAAGCTGCATCAAATCTACGGTCTGAGAGAGTTTGACTAACTCAAATGAACTTTGGCCACACAAGTAGGTCCCTTAATGATAGTCAAACCACATACAAATCCAGTTCTTATTTTAAGCACAGAATGTATTTCAGTTTATATGAATGTATGAAAGTATAGTTTATGTTAACATCTGGAAATTACTTAACTTATATAATGATTCAATTAGCATTTCACAAATCCAGCTTAATAACTGAGTGTATCACAACCCATTCCTGACACATAACTGGGGGGATGGTCAGCTATATGAATCCTCTAAAACTTTGTTCTGCAGAACAAAATTAAACTTTTGCATGACTATCATGAGTGTATTTTTTTTTTTTTCTAGGAAACATGAAAGGGGGAAGAAAAAAGTATATCTAAATTGAAAATATAAACAACATACAAATTACAGCCTGGAAGCATGTATAAATTTTATAAGAAGACACTTCGTATGAAAGAAAACTACTTTCTACTAACCACAAGATCTACAAGATTTATTTGACAGATATGCACACAAACTACAAATGAGAAACATGAGTACCAAGAAACCATTGAATTATCATAGAATACCTTTACAAGATTTGTTTGCTTTGGAGTAGGCAGAATGTGATGATGAAGATATAGCAATTTCATTAGATTGGATGGGTGCCTCAGCCTCTTTACCTACTGTGGAGCATGAGTTTTCCACATCTTGGTTCCCACTTAAAAAGTTATGAACTCCATCTTTATGGAATGTTTTAACACCAGAGGTGACTGAAACTTTTAGGAGTACGTTTTCCTTCCAAAAAAAAGGGCAACGAGGACAAATTTTCAAGATAGCTACACAGTTAGTTACTGCAAAATTGCTATACCTAAATCTTACTGAGTACCTCATCATCAGAGATTGCTTCATCATCTGTGTTGCATGTAGATGCCTTCCTTCGGGAAAACATAAAGTTGTCCTCATCAGGGAAGTCAGGGACTTCAACCTCATCTTCACAAGAGACACTTGATTGTTTCTGGTTCCATCAACACGATCATAAGCTAGTTTCCACTAAGCAAACTGATTGGAGAATTATACTTTTAACCCAAATTTAATCACATACCTGTGTTGATGAACTGCTAAATTCCCTTCCATAATTTATGTCATAAGTACCTACGTCAAAATCAAGATTCGTGTATAGCAAAGCAATAATAATTAGTAATACTAAACTTAAGTGAAAATGGTTACAACTTGTAATTCTTGACTGCATTCATTAACTTGAAAAAACTTCTTCTTCTTCTTCTTTCTTTTTTTTAAAAATAAAATTAGGGTTCAGCAATATACCTCTTAGTATATCCAATCGTGATTGAAGTTGTAATCCTTCCTATCAATTTACAAATTTATAGTAAGAACGCATTGCAAATTTACCTCAGTATAGAAAACATACTAAAAATACCCGCTAATTGTCCCTATCATGATTCTGACCATTTTCAAGAAACTGAATTTAAATCAAGAAACAAAACTTCTGCATCTTTCATCAAGACGACTAGATTACATTACAATTAAATTGATGAAATAAATTCGGGATTTAAATTATATTAGCCAAGTGGCCACCTACCTCTTTGTCCTGACGCCCACACATTGAGACACAATTATCTCGCAAATCAACATTATAATCTTCCTCATCTGTGAAATGATAAATGAAAATTTAAGAAAATACATAAACGCTTATACTGTAAACAAACGAGCGTAAAGATACATCACTAATGCAATTTAAAATGTCGCTTTAATTACCAGAAATGCTTTGATCAGAATCTGGATCTCCCTAAAGCGCATAAAATCCAAAAACAGAAAAAAAAAAAACATACACAGAGACAACGGGGTTAGTATTTATAAAAGAAAATTCATAGAAGAAAGAAGAAAAAATCTTTATAAGAGAGGGTTTACCGGACAAGTCTTTTGCCGCCACATTTTCGAGAGTGTTTACACAGAGACTCGACTCAGGGAATAATATTCCGTGTATTTATTTATATATTAAAATAGGGAACCAATACAAGTATACAACCCAATTACCCAACGGTTTAATTTCTATCGAAATTACTCATTTGACCTTGCACGTGCTTAAAATCAATATTTTATTTCCCACTAAGAAGTGGGTGGTAGAGCTTACATACTACGCAACGTTCCAATATAGTGTAATATGCCACGTCACAATCGCTTTAATAGGTCAGATCAAAATTTGTCAAATCTTGTACGGTGAGGATCAAATCTTTAGGATTACACTGTAGTCCTTGTTCCCTCCCATTCTTGTTTGGCAAGATTACTGACCCGCGCAAATTGAATCATTTCATTTTCAAAATTGTATTTAAATTTATTTTTATATGCAAGCACATACAAGAAACAGAGAGAGAGAGAGAGAGAGAAAGCGAGGAAGAGAGAGGGGGACTGGTAGAGTGATGAAGAGGAAAACCAAAACCCTAAAACCGTGGAGTAGCAATGAGAAGAGAGATACGAACAAAATGAAGGGAACACTAGCGAGGCATTTGCAAGGTCAGCTAGGAGTTTCTTCTCTCCAGCACCAATCTTCTTCCTCTATCTCGTCGTCCAATCCCTCTAATCGCTTCCAAAACCATCTAGAACCTGTGGACGAGAACTCCGCTCTCAGTGTCGATGTCGATGCGTATGTCGACGATAAAGAGACCATTCTTACCCAAGATTTCTTCTGGTAAATTAGTTTTTACCTTTTTCCTTTAAAGAAAGAAATGAAAATTTCAATAATTTACGAGAAATTGATGATTAAGTCAATATAATCCAATTTTTTAGTTGTTTGCGATTGAATTTAGATTATGTTTGCAACATCTGAAGTTATTCTTTTTATGTTATGGTTTTTCAGTACACCTGATTATATCACCCCGGACAATCAGAACATGTTGAACAGTTTCGATTGCAACAAGGTAAGCGGAATATTTGTACTAGTATGCAGAACTTGATTTATGTAAGGTTAAAAGTTATTAAAATTTGCTTCTTTTGTTTAGCAGGAAAATATTCCTTGCCCTAAATCACCTGAGAAGCTAAATACTACCAAAAGCAAGAGGTATCGACAGGGTAAGATTGGCTATTGTGACTAGATTTTTGGTTCTCATGTTTGCTTCTACTAGTTCTTGAATATAGTGAAATAAAAAAATTAAACTTTGATGTGTTACAACAAATAAATATGAATAAAACAGCTAGGAAAAAAAAAAAAAAAGGATGCCTGACAATTGAGTTATATAATGTGGAGGGCCCCTTTTATTTAATAGGGTTTGAAGCATTTGGAATGGTATGTCAAACTTTGAATAGCTTGAGCCAAATTCTTACTGGCAATAAATAGAATTAGCCTGAGTTTACCAAATGATCACCTCTGGTCCTGTTTCTGGATAAAGGATTACTGATTCGTGCTCTATTTACTTGACAACAAATGATTGCAATTTATTGAATAAAAGGAATTATGGAAATTGATGGTTGATCTGAATGCATAGTTCTGGGAAATTGGTTACAGAATCAATATCTTGTATTTGAGGTATGGGATATAATGCAAAACTTTTTCTATTTACAGTGGTTTTTATATGTCCTTTGTTGTCTGGTCCTTTACCTTGATATATTTGGTCCCTTCAAAATTTTATAAAATTATGGCCATTCCATCTTTCTGTTCCTCCTATCACATAAAAACGCTTAACCAAAATTAGCATCCAATAATCACATTTCTCAAGTTCAATTTTTTTTTAATGCTTGTATTTGTTTGAACCCTCTTTTTCAACTATTCTATTCATTTCAGATGGTTTCTTAGTAAATCCCCTCAGTCCTTCATCTGGCTACCAAGATATAGTGGACCTTGCAAAAGATAGTTTTGGAATAGATGAAATTAAGGTTGATAAAACAGCGGTAATTGGAACACAGAAAACTCAGAATTATGTTTCACAATCTGCTGTTGCTTTACGCTGTCGGGTCATGCCCCCTCCTTGCATTAAGAACCCATATCAAAAGGATGCTTCGGAAATGGACATAGATCCTTTTGGAAATCAAAGAGCAAAATGTGCAGGTACCATTTTAGTTGGTTTCCATAATAGTGTTTTTGCTGCAAGATGTTTCTGGGTTGTCTGTTTCACATTTTTTGCTTTCCCCTCGGGAGGCAGATGGCACTGTGAGAAAGTTCCTAGATTCATCATTTTACAGTTGTAATTACACAATACTTCAATTTCCAGGTTTCTTCCCCGCAATTATTGGAGGCAATGGCCTTTCACGTTATCACACAGATTTTCATGAGATTGAGGTATCTATCTGAAGTCCTGAAAACTTTTGGTCATAAATTAAATATTTAAGCTCCTGGTGCTTTTTGATACTTGGTAGAGTAATTTGCCTTCCTTATTCAGCAAATTGGTGCCGGACACTTTAGTCGTGTTTTCAAAGTGTTGAAGAGAATTGATGGGTGTTTTTATGCTGTAAAGCATAGCACAAGACAGCTGCAACAGGATAGGGACAGGTAAGTTCATGCTTTTGCTATTTTTATCATTCTTCAGGCAACTTACTTATGCAATAATGTTTGCAATTTACAGGAGGAAAGCTTTGATGGAAGTTCAAGCTATGGCAGCTTTAGGTTTGTGAGCTTGTCTTTGTAATTGTGCTTATATTAGAAATAGAGCTATTTTCTTGAATGATTTAACATATTGCTTTGTAGGGTCTCATGAAAACATTGTTGGGTACTATTCAGCTTGGTTTGAAAATGAGCAACTGTACATTCAGATGGAGCTGTGTGATCACAGCTTGTCCATTGATAAAGCTTCACAGTTATTTACAGAGGGAGAAGTATTGAAAGCCTTGCATCAGGTTATCCATCTTCAGAGCATTATTTTTGCAAACTTAACTTTTGAAACTTCGTTTTACTTTAGCTAAGAATTGAGATGTGTAACATAATCAGTAGCATAAAGTTATTACTTTATTGATAGTGCAAAAGAATATTTGTGATAAATAGTAGTATAAGATTGAGATTTTGTGTAAGATCCAGTTTAATGAAATTTAAGTAAATGGTTTATTTATTTGAATTTTATATATTTATCATTTTGCATATCATGCTGTTGTTTGCATATGTCCACCTCATCAAAAGATATCGCTTCATTGTCATTTCATTTCATTTTTTGTATTTCCCAACACAAAGTAAACCCAACTGTAATGGGAAGCAAGATTTAATCTTATTTTATTTATTTCTACTAATCAATGTCAAATAACTGACAGTTGGTGTTCATGATTATTCAAAGTGCAACTTAACACTTTATATTTGATGATTTTTTAACTTGGCAAAATTTTGTTTCCATTATTACAATGTTATTTCTGATGTCAAAACTTGTACAGATTGCAAAGGCATTGCAGTTTATACATGAGAGAGGAATAGCTCACCTAGATGTAAAACCAGATAATATTTATGTCAAGAATGGTGTTTACAAGCTAGGTGATTTTGGATGTGCAACTCGTCTTGATAATAGCCTGCCAATTGAAGAGGGTGATGCACGCTATATGCCACAGGAAATCCTGAATGAGAAATATGATCATCTTGACAAGGTTGATATCTTCTCCTTAGGGGCTTCTGTTTATGAACTAATCAGAGGGTCACCTTTGCAAGAAGCTGGACCCCAGTTTTCTAATCTTAGGGACGGAAAGCTGCCTCTGCTTCCAGGTCATTCCTTGCAATTTCAGAATTTACTCAAGGTACTGATTATTACCTATGCTTTTGCTTGTCAATCTCTTATGTTGTGTTTAGAGTATCTTTGGGGAGTAATTACTAGGGTGAATATAGTACAAAACACCAGGGGAAGTGTTTTCTCATAGCCAAACGCTCTCTTTCTCTCCCTCTATTTTGTTGTGTGTGTGCTTGTTCTATTGTTCTGAATCTTGCAATGTGATTATTCAAGACCTATATTTTGATACATGTATATATCATGAAAAGTAAACTAAAATGTTGTATGTTCAAATCACCCAGTATATCTTTCAAATGATAAACATTTCAAGTACTATGGTTCTCAATCTTTTTTTTTTTGGTGATTTGAAATGAGAAGTACCTTGTTTGCATTGGCTATACATAAATGCCATGTAGCAATAATATTTACCTGAGATCTGTTTCATCAAAATGCAGGACATAGGCTTATCTATATTTACCCTTAATTTGTCAGGTTGTGGTTTCATTTCAGCTTCTTGTAATGTTTAAAACAAAAAAGGTGTCGAAGAACTAGCAATAATATCACTGATTTATTCTGATAATTTTTCAGGTCATGATGGAACCAGATCCTGTTCGACGGCCTTCTGCTAAAGAATTGGTAGAAAATCCAATTTTTGATAGAATTCGAAAAAGTTCAAAAACTTAAACCATTTATTGGTTATGACTGGGATTGGAATGTTGTATTATTGTATATGCACTTAGTTTTTTATTATGACCAGGTAGCGCAACCTGTAGGGCATGGGAAAGATTACAGTTGGTCAGATTATTTTTGATGATAGTCATTCTCTAATTTATGCACCAAGTTTTCTCCATGGATGGTGCAAGTTTTGTGCAGTTTGGAAGAAGTCGGTGATGTATTATGTGGAGTGAAGGTGTGCAACACTGATTAAGAGTTTGTATTACACTGTCATGTTCCTCAGATAAAATTGAGCCCACTTTCTAGTTATATGTTGTTGCACTCATCTATTCTAGTAATGATTTCTTTATTTTATTTTTGTTATAAGGTTGTTCTGAGAGAAATGTTTTAGCTGACAGTTTATCTCAGTCCAAGGCCTAAGCTGTTTGATAAATGTAACTCCATTCATTTGCAGGTGGACTTTTCCCATGGTAAGCTGCAGCTATCTTCAAATTTGTCATCACGCCAGATCTAAGATAAGAATATATATTTGTGATACTAGTTCTACTTGAATAAGAATAGTTTAACGCATAAACTTGAATAACAAAGAAGATATTATTGATTATTTATATTTGATTAATAATAATCAATATGATTAATAATAATTTAAAATTAATACTATAAATATATATATATATTTTTTTTTGTAGATATTGTAAAATATTTTAAAAATAATGTATTTATTCGTTAATTTATATGTTTAAAATAATAATACCATCAATTAATATTTTGAATTTATAATTTATTTGATTAGCGAATACTTCATTAAATTTGATTAATAGTAATATATAATCTAACATTAAAAATACTGTATTGAATATAATAAATGATTTTATCTATATCATAAAATCAATTATTTAAAATATTAAAAACGCTATGTAAAATTAACGTGTTAATAATTAATATAAGATAAAATTACTGCACCAATAGCCTCAAAACGTTGAAGAGTATTTAATTTCTAAAAATTCAAATGGGCAATTAATATTTATATATGTGTAAAATAATCTGGACATATGTGATACAACCTTGATTTTATGGCTCTACCACAGAAACTGCAGCTGTGTGTGTGTGCTAATGTTAGTTATATATTGTGTATAATCCTAATCCTAATCCTAGTCCTAATCCAAATCCAAATCCATTAACACCTAATCCCTAACACCTTTATTAGCAAATAAAATGAACTAATTTTCATCATGGATGAAGCATGGAGAGATATAAGACGATGGCTTTAATTTTTGTAATATTGTGCATCAGTACCAACTAATTAATAAATGGAAACTTTCGGTAAAAAATATTGTATTTTATCTTTATGTGGTTGTTACTTACTTTTTGGAATATTTGGTAACCTGCTTTAAAAAATCAAATAAATCTACTTTCGGTAAGAATTATTACTTACTTTTTCTAATGAAACCATTTATAAAAATAGCTGACTTCATATCTACGTCTTTGTTATCTATTTGATGACTTACCTATTAAACTCATGTCAACTTCTGTTCGTACTTACTTAAAAAAAATTCTTACTTTTATTTATGACATAAATAAGATTATATTTCCAAAAAAAAAAAAAAAAAAAAGCTCCTTTCTTGAGATGTGAAATCCACACACTTATGAAATTAATAGTAATATTATGGGACATATTATATTTATATACCCAGGTCATACTATCCTCCTTTCTTTGCATTTAAATAGCAGCAGCAATATCCAGGATTCCACCTCGCCTGGCATCTTGTAATCAATCAGTACTAGTCCTGCTTCATTTGTATTTCTAATAAGGTTTTTGAAATGTCTGGCGATACAGTAAACGACGGCAAAGATGAGAAGCAGGAGATAGCTTCTCAAGAACTCACAGCAAGGAAACTTTCATGGCAAAATTTAAGATCTGATTCCTTGGACATTGAATCCCGCAAGGTTTCTAGTCATCATGCCCATGCCACCAACATTAAGGTCTTTGCTTAATTCCGATAGACAACATATACATATATATATTAAAAATCATTTTCATAAATTCTATATATAAATATAATATTATTATCAAATATCGTTTATACCCCTTTAAAATGCAAATGAAAGTGTAATTAATGGTGTGATATAGGATGCTTTGATTTTCTATACTTTCACCTTGATCCCGCTAATCAAATATGCATTCATTGTCTTACAGGCCAACGATAACGGTGAAGGTAAGTTATGTTCATTTTTTTTTTTTTTAATTAAAACAATTTCTAACTATTACAACATTTAAGAAGAGTAGTATATATCATGGTAAAATAAAATAAAATATATTGATGTATATTAATTAAATAATTAAATTTTGATATAATTAATTTATATTTTAGTATTTTATGATTATGAATTATTTATAGATTCCAACATCTATGTGTTTCTATACATAGTTTACAGTTTTAGTACAAATTTATTCGATAAGATTTAAATTATATTATATTTTAATAGTATCTGATTTCAAAAAAAAAGAAAATGATTTAAGTATTGGATTTAATATAACACTTTTAAATAATGAATGAATTCAGATTGCTATTAAACGTTTTGTGATGATGAAGGATGAGAATTTAAGAAATTGGCTTAATAATAGACACGTAAATGAATGTTTTTTTCAGGAGGGACGTTTGCTCTATACTCACTCTTATGTCGATATGCGAAGGTCGGGTTAACACCAAGTGAACAAGGTGAGGATTTTGATGTGTCAAACTTTCAGGTTGAGTCACCTAGGCCTAGCAAACGTCTAATGAGGGCTTCAAGACTGAAATATATGCTTGAGAACAGTCAATTTGCCAAGTTCTTTCTACTGATCACCACCATGCTTGGTACTTCCATGGTCATTGGCGATGGTGTCCTTACTCCTTCTATTTCAGGTTAATTAATTTTCTCACTGTTTTTTTCTTATTGTTAACTAATAGTGGTCCGACTTTGTTATCTTATTCTTTCATCATATGTCTGACTTTTGACTTGACGAATTTGATCTTTGATTAAACGGCAGTTTTATCAGCAATGGAAGGCATCAAGGTAGCTACACCTGCAATGACAGAAGGTACCTCTTGCTTTAATTATAATCATATTTTCTTACTTTTAATTTGACTATGTTATATAAATTACTATAGACAATTTTGTTGAATCTCGTGGCTTAAACCGACACATATTTTGACATCCCAAATCACGCACGTTAATTTGGAATCTTTCCCTTCTAGGAACCAGAAAAGTTAAAAGGAACCACTAAAATATATATATTGCTTCAAGCCGTATTTAAATTGAATTCTGGGGAAAAATCCAAGTTTGTGTTTTTATAGTTTGATTAATTAAACCCTTGCTATGATATGACTCCGGTTAAATATATATAATAATGAATAAACTATATATGATTTTAAATTATAAGATGTTAGGATACCACACATTGGAAGGCAAAAGGGTGAGTATGTGAGTTATAAAGGGCTTGGGCTCCCTTGGAAAATTGGTTTTCCAAGGAGAGCTCTACTTAAGCCTACAAAAGACCCATTATCCAGCCCAATTGCTTGAGTTGTTAGATGGGTATCTATCAAATGGTATCAGAGCCAAACCCCGCTCGAGCTCATGTCCTTTCGGAAGGGGTGGCTTGGGAAAGGGCTACCTAGGATGGGGCGACCTCTAAGAGTAGGCCACTCAGAGTGAAGCCGTCCAGAGTAGGGTGACCTCTAAGAGTAAGCCACTCAAAGTGAAGCCGTCCAGAGTGGGCCAACAATGTTTCAGAATTAGGGGCGACCTAAGAGAGTAGGCCACCCAGAGTGAAGTCGTATAGAGTGGGCCAACGGGAGAGTAGGCCACTCAGAGTGAGGCTGTCCAGAGTGGGCCAACGTGGACGTTGAGTCTCAAAGCATGGGAGAATATTAGGATCCCACATTAGAAAGAAAAAATGGAGGGCATATGGGTTGTAAAGGGCTTGGGCGCCCTCCCTTGGCAAACCGGTTTTCTAAGGAGAGTTCTACCTAAGTTCACAAAAAGCCCATTACCCAACCCAATTGTTTGAGTTATTAGATGGGTATGTATCATAAGATCTCGTCTCTTATAATGTTATAAAAAATACTCCCTCCGTTTCCAAATAAGTGACGTTTTAGCTAATTGCACAATTTTTTATGTACTGATTTTTTTAATGTAAACAAAAAGAGAGAGGAGGCGTGGGCATACAAAAAAGTGGAGAGAGAAGATTGAGGCAGACACGCATAGCAAAGAAAGAGAAAGAGAAGAGATGTGGGCCATGTAAAAATGAGAGAATAGAGATATCAGACAACTGAGACAAGACAAGCGACACTTATTTAGAAAAAAAATTATACCCCCAAAACGCCACTTAAGAAAAAACGGAGGGAGTAATATAATATTAAAATGCAATATCATGGTAATTACTTTGGATTCAGTTTGACCATATGATGCTGCAGAAAATTTTGATTTGTTAGTGAATAATACAAATATATTGTGAATACTTGATCAGGGATTTGATGCATTAATTAAGTTTACGTATCAGTTTGTCCAAATGATGATAAATTTCAGATCTCTATTCCAGAAGATTTTGATGTGTTAGTGAATAACAATGAACTAATAAACAAATGCTATCTATCCAATTTTTCGTATTTAGATCGAATTGTTGGGGTATCAGTGGCCATCTTGGTTTGCCTATTCGCTGTTCAAAGATTTGGAACTGACAAAGTAGGCTATAGCTTTTCTCCAATACTTTGTATTTGGTTCGCACTCATTGGTGGCATCGGTGTCTATAACTTCTTCAAATTTGATCCAATGGTGATTAAAGCTCTCAATCCAGTATACATTGTAGATTATTTTAGAAGAAACAAGAAACAGGGTTGGATTTCCCTTGGTAGCATTATCCTTGTCACAACAGGTATTCATTTCTTTTTGCTTATATTGTTAATGAATTTATTTTATTCATTTTGCTATATATATATATATATATAATATATATATATATATATATATATAAGGAGCCGAAGCAATGTTTGCCGATGTCGGTCATTTCACATTCGGTCTATACAAATAAGCATGTGTTGTTTGATTTATCCTCAAATTTTAGCATATATTGGACAAGCCTCCTTCCTTCGCAAGCACCCTGATCTTGTAGGCGATACCTTCTACAGTCAACACCGGGTAAATAAAACATATGCAATTTCAATTTTTATTTTAAATTTTTCTCTTTAAATACAAATTAATTATAATTATTGATCCAAATGGTAAAACAATGCAGGTCATTTGTATTGGCCTATGTTTGTGGTGGCACTATTGTCATCAATAATAGGAAGTCAATCTATGATTTCGGGGACTTTCTCTATAATTCAGCAATCCCTTGCCCTGGGATGTTTCCCTCCGGTGAAAATCGTGCATACATCCACCAAATATAAAGGACAAGTTTATATTCCAGAAGTTAATTATCTACTTCTGCTGGCTTGTGTTGGAGTTACTCTTGGTTTTAGGACAACGGCAAAGATCAACAATGCCTACGGTAATCCCACACTTCTATATGGTGTTTCAACTGCCCGTTTAATTTCATACAATCTAAACACACATGTATATGTATTTATTTTAAAACAAATCAATTAGTTGATGATAAGTTTGTTAATTACTTTGTACAGGAATTGCGGTGGTGTTTGTAATGGTACTGACATCAAGCTTGTTGGTTCTTGTCATGATAATGATATGGAAATCTAACATACTTGTTGTTATATCTTATGTTCTTATCATTTGCTCCGTGGAGTTGATTTATTTGAGTTCTGTCCTTTACAAATTTGACCAAGGAGGATTCTTACCACTAGCCTTTTCTGCTCTTCTTATGATAATAATGTGTGTTTGGAACAATGTGTATAGAAGGAAGTACTATTATGAGCTTGAACACAAGATTTCTCCTGAAAGGGTAAAGGAGATAGCTGCTGATACAAATTTCTGTCGAATTCCTGGACTTGCCATGTTTCACTCAGAGCTTGTTCATGGGATCCCACCAATTTTCAAGCATTATGTGGCAAATGTGCCTGCATTGCACTCAGTCCTTGTTTTCGTCTCTATCAAATCATTACCAATTAGCAAGGTTGCACCAGAAGAACGGTTTCTTTTCCGTAGAATAGAAGTAAATGAGCTTAATGTGTTTCGTTGTGTCGCAAGATATGGGTACAGAGATGTTCGCTATGAGGAAGAACCGTTTGAGAGAATATTAGTCGAAAAATTGAAAGAGTTCATAAGAGAAGATTATTGGCTATCGCAAACAATCACCAATCATGCGGAGGTTAGTGAAGGGAACGTAGAATTTATTGATGCGCCAATTAGAAGAGAGAACGAAGGTGAAAAGGATGTAAGATTGGTTCAAGAAGAAGAGCAAAAAGAGGCAGTACTGGAGAGAGAGATCGAATTGGTGGATAGAGCATTGTGTGCTGGTGCTGTTCACTTGATTGGTGAGGGTGAAGTGATTGCAGGAAAAGGAGCTGGTATTGGGAAGAGGGTTTTGATAGATTATGCTTACAATTTCTTGAAGAAAAACGTGAGACAAAGTGACAAAGTATTTGACATTCCTCACGAGCGAATGCTCAAAGTGGGAATGACATATGAGCTTTAGAACACATATTAAGTAAAGGTGGGACGAACTTGAATATTTTGGAAGCCAAGATGTTTATTATATGGAGGTGTTTATAATTAATTTATCATAAAAGATATATTGTCATCACTGTAGAGGAGAAATTCAGCAATCAAGAAGTATGTTCATGTTGTAAAAGAATGTGGAATAACAGATCATTTATAAGAATGTTATGGATGTATATAGGCTTGGGATTACCCCTGCAGTGGAAGTGGGTTATGTGTTGTTGTTCAAGTATGTATGCACAAGGTACTTTGTTAATTAAGCACAGCCAAATGGGTCAAATAAGTCATAAGGTTCTTTGTTAATTAAGCTCGAACACATGATCTCTAGGTAATCCAAAGTCTTGTCATCCGGCCGTCAAGTGATTCATTGGGTTTGATTTTATGTACATTAATTTTATTCCTTGTATAATGTGTTGATTTCCAAGATATATGCATGCCCACCAAGTTGTTTGGCTTAATGATAATATGTTTAAAAGAATGAAAGAAAAGAATTATGTTGCCAGCATCAGCTCTATCGAAGCAGAATATTACTATTGGAAAATTACGGATATCCAAAACCAAATTATATATTAGTAGGATCCCAGGAGGAGTTGCAGTTTATAGTAAAATAAGGGGATTGAAACAACTTTTCTACTTATATATGTGGACTGTGGTGATCGGCATTCCGGAAATTTGGTTCTGAAACTTGAAGGCCAATAGCAACAGAGAGAAGTGTTGAACCCAGCTATGTTTTGTCTTGGCTCAGGTTACACCAATGTCGAAACTGTGTGTCGAATTGGACGAAAATTCATAAACAGAACAAAGCAAATCAAGATAAGTTTGTACAAATTTTCCATCCCTATCATAGCTAACCGTAAGCAACCTGTTGACTGCCGTTCTTAACTTACAAGACAAACTAAACCATATGCATAATCCAAATTCCAAAACTCACCATTAATTAATTAACTTGTATCATCATTCATCACTCGTGTTTTGCTTGTACTATTTCCGTTAAAAATTTCGATGACAAACAAAATTACACGCGGATTCAATTGTTTTTAATTTAGAATATTCTGCATTCACAGCAGGTATATGCCTTGCAGACTTGGTGATACAATGCCTTAAACAAATGCATGGTTCCAGTTACACCTAGGGCTTCGCCACGTTTACCAACTTTTTTATAAGAAGCTAGAAAGCTACACTTTTAGGGGATTAGAAAAGTGCAATTATTAATTATCATCAAATCTACTATGAAACTGTAAATAGTATTGCTGTCTGGAATTAACGTAAAATTATTTTTGACGCGTAAGAACTAAGTTAACTTTAGTGAGGTTGGTTGGGATAATAGAACAACTTGACAGAAACTTGATAGGTAAAATTAACATAAAATAATGGCGTGAATCTTCCAGAGATTGAGTAGTGTAAAATATTAGTAGTAGCTTTCTTACATACATTGATTATTTATACATCAGAAATACAAATTACAGAGACATTATAAAGTGGTTTCGTAAGAGGCAATATTACAACCTCAGTATTTTTCTAAAAAATAAAATAGGCAATATTTATTTGAAATAACCTTGGTATTTGTTATACAAACGTGATGTTCATGGAACTAACTGCAGATGTAGAGCTAATGTTACTTTATATTTGTATTATTCTAATTCATTCATTAACGCCTTTATTAGCAAACAAAATTAACTCATTTTCATCGTGGATGAAGCATGTAGATGGCTTAATTTTTGTAATTTTTTGTATCAATCATCACCAACTAACTTTGGGTAAAAACTATTGTATTTTATTGTGTCATTATTGTAGTTGTTGCTTACTTTTTGCAATATATTGTAACCTGCCGGTAGTTACTAGGAATAAACACAATCAAATAAATCAAGGTCATTTGTTAACTCGATTTTTAGGTTCGATATATATTCCGTGGCAAAGAAAATGATAGGTGATGGTGATACCAATATTTAATCAATTAATTAATTAATTGAGAATAAAGTATGGCATTATTGTTAAGCATCTATTCTTCTTTCAAACTCATCAACCCAATTTTACATTGGAAAATTAGGGATATCCGAAATCAAATAATGTGGACTGTGGTGATTGGCATTACAGATTTTTCTTGCAGAAACTTGCAGGCCAATAGCAACAAAGAGAAATGTTGAACGCAACTAACTGTGTTTGTCTTGCCTCAGGTTACGCCAATGTTGAAACTATGTGTCGAATTGGACGAAAACTCATAATAAAACAAATCATATCAAGAAAGTCTGATCAGCTAAGTAATATCTGTTTTTTTTTTTTTTTTTTTTTTTTGACCACAAGGTTTTTCTAACTTAACCATTTGAAGAAATGGCTTCATATTTGTCATTGTTATTACAACTGTATTTCTCCAAAAACTTAATGACTAATTTGAGTATCTGCTAGAAGATGATCTGTATACAATGAACAATCACGGTGTTTCAACTGATTTCTTTTAAGATTATTTTTAAATTAAATATTTCACATTAAAGTAAGGTTGCTTTGTTTAAGTCTTTGACAAGCAACATTAAGAAGCCACTAAAAATTAGGAGACGTGGATGCTCTTAATTGGATAATTAAGAGAGCTTCGAGGATTCCAAGGCAATTTCTTATGAGTCAAACGATGAGAAGGAGATAAAGCCTTCCCGTGATATAGCAAAAACCATACACGTGATGATGACTAATACCCCGCACGTGACGCTTTTTTCTTCTTTCCTCGTAGAAATAGACGTCTTAAACTCTTACATAAGAGCAGAGGACGAAAATGGTGATGATGGTTTGACCTTGAACCTTCAATTATGGCTTCCCATTCAAATTTAACCACCACCAAAAATTCTTAAATATGCATAATGCATTGCATTAGTCTACCATTTCACATGATCAGTTGTTGACTTAAATTTACTATTATCGATATTTCTATATTATAACAAATTAATGATTCTTTCGTATATAAATCTTGTGAACAACAATCATACTTTTTGGGCGCATGAAGAAAACTGTCAGAATATTATATTGTTAATTGCTATATATTTTATTGTTGATCTAATCTAGGAATCTGGAAGAAGACGTTTTATGAAAAGAAAAAAAGGAGATCAAAGTGGAACTCTTTGTAATTCCGATTCATTATATACTTTATATAAGAATAATTACTATTTGTTGGAGTCCCACATCGACTAGATACGCTCAAGCCTATTAGGTTATAAGAGGGGGTAATCCTCCCATTCAACAAGACCTTTTGGGTGAGGAGTTAGGCCCACCTTAAATTCTAACATGGTATCAGAGCCTAGGTTTAGTTGAGCTGAGCGTTTGACCAGCGAGTGAGGAGTTAGAGCCAGCAACTACCTCCAATAACAGGCATGACCCAACATATGGGCTTGACCGTGAGAGGGAGTGTTGGAGTCCCACATCGACTAGGCACGCTCAAGCCTATTGGGTTATAAGAGGGGGTAATCCTCCCATTCAACAAGGCCTTTTGGGTGAGTAGTTAGACCCACCTCAAATTCTAACACTATTTAATCATAAAAAATTATAATTCTAACTTAGGCCAATTATAAATAAGAATAAATTTTACATTGTAATAAGTTATAGATTTTTAAGACCCCGTCTTAAGGAATTTATCTCTACATAGTAATAATTGTATGTATATTATAAAAAAATGTGTTATGTTACATTAAATATTTAAGATGAAATAAAATATTTATCTAAAATTGTTTGAGACAATGATTTATGTTTTAAAGTTGTTAACATATCTTTTATCTTACATGTATGTAATAAGTTGGCAACATAGATACCTTCTTGTTGAAGTCAAAATATTTCTAACTGCATGTTTAAAGCTTCTTGACACAAAACTTTTGGTATTTCTGTACTATATTCATCCTCAAGATTATCTCTTTCCTCTTCTTGTCTAATTCCAGTAATGATTTCATCTTTAGTTAAAGTATACATGACTTGTTATTCATTTGATGATTAAGAAAGATATTAATACCTATTTGATTAGTGTAATTAAATTGTTAAATCTGATCACTCAATTTTATAATAACTCTTTGATATCTATTTCCATACTATTATAATGCGACTAAAACAATGAATTGAAATTCTAATACTATTAAAACATGAATTATAAAATAAAAAATCAAAATGATGATTTTTTAATCAAAACAATAATTTTTATAACTGCATCTCTATTAAGTTATAATATTCTCATAGTAATAAATTTAATTAGTCTCAATATTATAATTATGGAGAGATTTTACTGTATTATGAATACAGAGATGATTTAGTTCAAGTCTTATTTAATGAATTTAAAAGAAAAAAGTTTGAATGATAATTAATTGATTTAAAATTCTTGCCACAAAAAAGTTAAAACGTAGGGAAAAAGAAAAAGAAAAGTAAACGCGTTAAGCTAAGCGAGGAAATTACGTCAATAAGATCCCATAGGATGGGAGGCCGCCAATGCCATCAACGTCTGAGGCCTCGGACGTCTCGTTGGGTCTTCACACACTTTAGAACTTAGAAAAGAAAGACTTTTTGGTATGCCCAACATTAATTTCACACGTGTGAGTGTGGGTGATGCTATCCTCTTTATTTGCATTTAAATAGCAGCACCACCTCGCATCGTGTAAAACCAGCTTACTATAGAGAACAAAAAAATAATAATCCTCATCACTCCTGTTTAATTTCAGACCGCTACAGTTCTCTCTCTCTCTCTCTCTCTCTTGTGCTTCTCAGAGAGAAAGAGCGTGGGTGAGATCCCATAACTTACTTTTGATTTATAGTTCTAATACGGTCTGAGAAATGTCGGTTGATGAAGTAAACGACACCAAAGATGAGAACCAGGTGGAGGTAGTTTCTCAAGAACTTACCGCAAGGAAACTTTCATGGCAAAAGTTGAGAAGATCTGATTCCTTGGATATTGAGTCCCGCAGGGTGTCTGGTCATCATGCTCATGCCACCAAGGTCTGCTTCCGAAAGACTACATATATTTCAATATAGAAAATCATTCTTAATCTAAGAAAATAAATTCTATTCTATTTAGAAAAATATTTATAAATATAAAAAGCTTATATTGTTTATAATGGTTTGAATATTGGGTAATATAGGAAGGTGTGAAGTGGGAAGTGATACTGCAACTAGCATTTCAAAGCATTGGAATAGTGTATGGAGATATTGGTACATCGCCTCTATACGTATATGCAAGCACTTTCACAGATGGTATACATCACGAAGATGATATACTAGGGGTTCTTTCTTTGATTTATTATACTATCACGTTGATTCCTCTAATCAAGTATGTCTTCATTGTCTTAAAGGCCAACGATAACGGTGATGGTACGTTATGTTCTTCAATTTTTTTATTTTTTATTTTCAAAACAATTACCTCCTGCTTATCACAAGTTTGTTTCATTTACTAACCAATCAAATACATAATTTAAACAATTTTCAGATCATTCATTTGCGTTTTCTATTAAAAAATAAAAAGTTTTTGCTAAGTTTTTTTTTTTTTTTTAAAAAAATTAAATTAGAAGACTACTATGGATACCAAAACTAGCTGGGAGAAACTTAACTAGTGAGGTGAGGTCCAAGACGTTATTTAAGAGAGGTGTCTACTATTGTGCAGTCAATTTTGAAAGGGAAGAGAAAATAATTTAGATAGATTTATGTAAATTTTAAACCAAGACCTACCGATGAAAAAGAAACAAAAAAAAAAAAAAAAGTGAATTTATTACCCTCTCTGTATTTTTTTCCTAGTTTTCTTCCTCCAAAAAGTTAACTTCGTTCTAATTTTTTTTTTTTATTTACATTTTTCTAAGTCAAATATTCAACTCATTTAAGTTTACAGTATTTACTAATTACTACCAAGGATCTTATTAGATTTAACATATTTGTACATAAATCCATACGATAAAAATGGTTTTAAGTTTAATTTTTTTTTTTTTTTTTTTTTTAAATGGATCATTAACATCAACACGTTTTCGTAATGGGCCATATTTGGGTTATTAATTTAAAAATCATTTGACCTATTTAATCTATTAATAAAAGATATTTTAGTAATAAAATATTTACAAAACCATTAGAAATAAAATAAAATATTTTGATTATTTTTTTTTTTTTTAATTTAAACATAATTGTTTGGTATTCTTTATAGTTCGTATCGTAACTCAACATCAAAAGGAGAATTTATTCTCTAACTTGGATAATAAATTGTTTGAACATGACCCAAGCAGCAACTAATCCCCAGTAGTATTGGGCCCAAACAGATGCAATCTTGAAGGATGAGAAATTAAACAAGTAAATTAATATTTATTTTCAGGAGGGACGTTTGCTCTATATTCACTGATATGTCGATATGCGAAGGTGGGGTTAATACCCAGTCAACAAACTGAGGATTGTGATGTGTCTAATTTTCAGCTTGAGTTGCCTAGCAAACGTCTAATGAGGGCTTCAAGACTTAAAAATAAGCTTGAGAACAGTCGGTTTGCAAAGTTCTTTCTATTGATCGCCACCATGCTTGGTACTTCCATGGTCATTGGGGATGGTGTCCTCACTCCTTGTATCTCAGGTTCATTTTCTCACTGTTCATTTTATTGTTAGAATTTGTTGTCTTGGTCTCTCATCATATGTCTAAACTTGATGAATTTTATTTTGGTTGAACGGCAGTATTGTCAGCTGTGGGAGGCATCAAGGAAGCTACCCATGTAATGACAGAAGGTACCTACCTCGTGCTTTAATTAATTTTATACATATTTTTTCTTACTTTTTAATTTGACTATTAAATCACTGTAGACAAAATTGTTGAATCTCGTGGCTTAAACCGACACATATTTGACATCCCAAATCACGCACGTTAATTTGGGAATCTTTCACTTCTTCTAGGAACCAGAAAAGACGAAAGGAACCATTAAAATATAGATTACGTCAGTCATTGACTTGAATTGCTGGAGATAAATCCAAGTGTTTGTGTTGTTATAGTTATTAAACCCTATGATATTGATATGCCGACTGTTAATAAGAACAAATAAAGTATCATTTTAAATTATAAGATTTCAACTCTTATATATTATAAATGTTGTTAGAAAGAAATACAATTAAAACGCAAAATCATGATTACTTTGGATAGATTATAAAATTGGTATAATTCCATATCATCAAGATTGGACATTAACAATAGAGTAAACCACTTTTTCCCATCTAAAAAACGATTTAATGACGCTTTTCCACTCACAAACTTTAAAATATCATTTTATTATCTAAATTTATATTCCATTTCTAATTTCGGTATCGTTACGACTTTATATCGCCACCATTCTCTTCCTCCGTCATCACTCATAAAAATCCCTCAAATCCTATTCTCGTTGACTCTACCAACCGCTGACAATCGAGTGATTAAGGTGTACACAACCGCATCCCCAAGTCAAATTCCAATCAATCTTCACCATCAAAATCCAACATTCTATCACCAAAAGACTCATCGATCTCCCCTCTTTAAAAATCCCAACAATCTAGATTGAGTTTACTTTTTGTTCGTCACTAAAATATAAATTTAGATAGTAAAATGGTATTTTAAAAGTTTGTCAATGAAAAAGTGTCATTTAATCATTATTTGGATAGGAAAAAGTGTTAGCTCTTAACAATAGGCTTGAACAAAGTTAGTGGTGTATCACTTTTATCTAGTTTATATATGAATATTTATATTTATCAAAATCACCATAGTCAAGTACATATCAGTTTGGCCATAAGATTTGATAAATTTTAGATTTATATTGCAGAAAAAAATGTTTTGTTAGTGAATAACAAATATATTATTATGAATTGGGCATTAATGAATTGATTTAAGTGTACACATATCAGTTTGTCCGTAGGATGTTAAATTTCAGATTTCTATTCAGTAAATAACAAACAAACTAATGCTATTTATCCTATTATTTGTGTTTAGATCGAGTTGTTTGGATATCAGTCGCCATCTTGGTTTGCCTATTCGCTGTTCAAAGATTTGGAACTGACAAAGTAGGCTACACCTTTGCTCCAATAATCTGTGTTTGGTTTGCCTTCATTGGTGGCATTGGTGTCTATAACTTCATCAAATTTGATCCGTGGGTGATTAAAGCTATTAATCCAGCATACATTGTGGGTTATTTTGGAAGAAACAAGAAAAATGCTTGGATATCCCTTGGTGGCGTTGTTCTTGCCATAACAGGTATTCTTTTCTCTTTGCTTATATATATAACTTTAATCAATTTATTACATTAATTTTGCAGTTTGCTAATCAACTTTTCTTTTTATTTTCGTATTAAAACAAAAGGAACCGAAGCATTGTTTGCTGATGTCGGTCATTTCACAGTCCGGTCTATACAAATAAGCATGTGTTGTGTTACTTATCCAGCACTCATTTGCGCATATACTGGACAAGCCTCCTGGCTTCGCAAGCACCCTGATCTTGTAGGCGATACCTTCTTCAAGTCCACACCAGGTAACTAAATAATATATATGCACTGAATTTATTTATTTTTTGTCTTTAAGTATCAATTAATTAATTTATCCAAATGGTAAAACAATGCAGGTCGTTTGTATTGGCCAATGTTTGTGGTGGCTGTATTGGCTGCAATAATAGCAAGTCAAGCTATGATTTCAGGGACTTTCTCTATAATTCAGCAATCCCTTGCCTTGGGATGTTTCCCTCGTGTGAAAATCGTGCATACATCCACCAAATATGAAGGACAAGTTTACATTCCAGAAGTTAATTATCTACTTATGTTGGCTTGTGTTGGAGTTACTCTTGGTTTTAAGACAACTGTGAAGATCGGCAATGCTTACGGTAATAATCCCACACCTCTATCCCTTGTTTTAACCTGGTTTAATTTCATATTAAAGAAATAAATTAAATTCATTAATTAGCTGATAATGAATTTGTTAATTACTTTATACAGGGATAGCGGTGGTTTTTGTAATGACATTGACATCAAGCTTGTTGATTCTCATCATGATAATGATATGGAAATCTAACATACTTCTTGTTATATGTTATGTCCTTATCATTTGCTCCGTTGAGATTGTGTATTTAAGTTCGGTCCTTTACAAATTTGATCAAGGAGGATACTTACCATTAGCCTTTGCTGCTCTTCTTATGACAATAATGTATGTTTGGAACAATGTGTATAGAAGGAAGTACTATTATGAGCTTGAACACAAGATTTCTCCTGAAAGGGTAAAGGAAATATCTGCTGATACAAATTTCTATCGAATTCCTGGACTGGCCATGTTTTACTCAGAGCTTGTTCAAGGGATCCCACCAATTTTCAAGCATTATGTGGCAAATGTACCTGCATTGCACTCAGTCCTTGTTTTTGTCTCTATCAAATCGTTGCCAATTAGCAAGGTTCCGCCAGAAGAACGGTTCCTTTTCCGTAGAGTTGAACCAATGGATCTTAATGTGTTTCGTTGTATTGCAAGATACGGATACACAGATGTGCGCAATGAGGAAGAACCGTTTGAGAGAATATTAGTTGAAAAACTAAAAGAGTTCATAAGAGATGATTATTGGCTGTCGCAAACAATCACCAATCTTGAGGAGGTTGGAGAAGAGAATGGAGAATTTACTGATGTGTCAATTAAAGGTGAGAACGAACGTAATGAGGATGTCGGATTCGTTCAAGAAGAACAGCAAAAAGAGTCAGTACTGGAGAGAGAGATTGAAATGGTGGATAAAGCACTGCGTGCTGGTTGTGTTCATTTGATTGGTGAGAGTGAAGTGATTGCAGGAAAAGGATCTGGTATTGGGAAGAGGATTTTGATAGATCATGCTTTCAATTTCTTGAAGAAAAACTTGCGACAAAGTGAGAAAGTATTTGACATTCCTCACAAGAGGATGCTCAAAGTGGGAATGACTTACGAGCTTTAGAAAACGAAGTAAAGGTGGCTCAACGACCTTGAAAATTTGGAAGCCAAGATGTTTATATAGAGTTGATAATTAATTTATCATAAAAGAGATCTTGGCATAACAGTAGAGGAGAAATTCAGCAATCAAGAAGTATGCTCATGTTTTATAGAATAAATCTGAATCACAGATCATGTATAAGAATGTTATAGATGCATATGGGCTTGGGTATACCTATGCAGTCGAAGTGGGTTTTGTGTTGTTGTTCAAGTATGATGTGTACAAGATACTTCATAATTAAGCGCATGAATTTTCATTTAGTATTGATTTTCAAGATGCACGCCCATCAATTTATTTGGCTTAAAGATAATATGTTTAAAATAAGAAAAGAAAAGAAATTTGTTGCTGGCATCAGTTCTCCCGATCCCCGAAGCAGAATAACAATGTCCAACTAGAAACAAATTATATATACTTTTCAAATCTAGACTACAATCTATATTTACCTATGTGAGAAAAATAATATAGAGCTACTTTACTCTTTACCTCTTTGTCTGCCTTCTTCCCCACAAACCAAAATCACACGGATGCTTTATTTAATCACCAAATGACTGAAAAAGGAAATCAAAACTCTACATGCATCTCAGTTCATAATTAACAGTTAATTTTTAATTCCTGATGCACTTGACATGTATATATGCCCATGAGGATGATATGTCAGACGTCTGTATATTCATTAGGATTTATATTCAAATTAGTAGGAATTTCAAGTCCATATATAAGGAGAATTAATAAAGACTTAAGCAAGATGAAGGTGGAAAGACGTGTAATTACTGAGCAAAAAGTACCATTGACATGAGACATATATTCGGAGATTAATAAATTATAATTGCCGCCCAATTGACCACCCAAGCAACTCGACCGGGCAATTAGTTAACCTACTGCAAGACAACACCAGGAAGTCCGTCATGGAGAGAGAACAGCTGAGATATTTTACACCAAAGGAAGCGCCATGAATATAGATTGGTGAAGATCTCATGGGCGCATAATTTTCTTAATGACAAGGTGGCCGGCAAAAATGCTTTGCTTAGCTAGAAAATGTGCCTCAGAATTGTGTCCCCAGTGCATTCGTACACGTTGCATCACGAGGATATCTACTAGATGTCACATGGAGAACTTATGATTCACATGCTCCTTGTCGTATTTGTAAGATTTTGGTGTGGTTGTCATCAATTAATTAGATCTTACTTTTTTTTTTTTTTAAATCTTCTTAATACAGGAAAAGATTCTTAATTTTAACTTAGGAACAGAAACTCATCCCTTTAATTGTCTATTTTGAATCTTCTCCGATGAAAAGATTATTGATAGTATCCCTTCGAAAGAGGAGAAACATCAACTCAACAAAACTTTCAGTAATATAATTGGATACAGCTCAACAGATGATTTGTAGGTTTCCAGTCTTTGTCGTCAGTTTCAAATCTTGTATTATCCACTCTCTCTTTTGTGATTATCTAAAACTAATGAAGGATCACAGGGTATCTTTGGATTATATATGCCTAAACAAGAACCTTATAATACATATAAATCTTTGATTTTTATTATATTTTTTGTTCTCTTCTTTGTCTTATCTGCTATTAATTACACAAAACTTCCAAAATAAGACCTTGACATTTTAGTGATCCTCAGTTATGGGGAGAGACGATCCAAATCCATTCAAACATAAATATTAAAAGTTAAAATTGCAGCATCATCGAGACCTGATGGTTTTTTTCACGACATATCTTAAAATGTAGAATCACTAAATTGTGGTCCCCGGATCAAGCCCTAGCTACCTACTTAACCCCAGCCGAACAATAATTTACTATATATGTAACCGATGGTTAACTTAGATTAATTAACCATAACCATATGAACTAATTATGGTTGCGTATTTTGGCAATCGGGGTGATTTCTATAAGCATACATCAGCATACTCGTATAGATGACAAATACGTCATCAACATGCTTTTTTTAGTAGGTACATACAAACTACTACAATAAGAGAGTCACAAGATAGATTTAACTTCAGTGTACATTCAAGCTGTGTATTATGCCTATCAGAAGGGGGGAGGGAGAGAGAGTTTAAATTATATGGCAAGATACAATTTGTTATCAGCAAAGCAGATTTCTGAATTATTCATGCATATGAACTATCATCAATCAGATAGAATGAGTATGATCAACCAACAAAGTATGTTTAACTTCATATCTGCAGGTCTTCCTACACCTAAGCTTCTAATCACATAGATACACACACACACGATCATATTGGATGATTACCACAATTGAAAAGAGCGTACCATAAGTATAGAAAAGTGGAATAAAAATAACCTTCTTGCTTTTCTTCGCATCCTCACAATGAACTTATCATTCTCAAATAATTCCAACTGTTATTACAAATTGGGGTGGCCAAAGACTCTTTAATTTCTTCTCTGGACAACACTTCAAGGAAATTAGGCCATCCAGGGGAAATTTTCTATTTTGGTAAAAGTTAAGAACAAGAGATGTTAATCTGAAACTTCACCTTATATATTAATCTCAAACCAAACCCTAGATATTCAGATAAAATTCCAAATTACAAACCAATATACAACAGTCGGTCGTGCATCTGTTATAATACTGTCTGATTCGAGAGATCATAATTTCAGCACAAATTAAAATACAAGGATTATTAGCTTTAATTCCCCACAATTCTTAAGCTAATAACAGGGAAACAAAAACCAAGGGAGTGGATCCTTAGGCCTCAATGGCAGAAACATCTGAAACGTCCCCACAGCATCCAAGCCTCACCATGTAATATATAGCATCATAAATTACAAGCAGCATCATAAGATAGGAGTAGAAAATTACCACACTCAATATACATGTGTTTCAAAAGCGGCCGGAGCTATTAGCACTGCTGTCAGTCACGTTGAAGTTGAAGGGAGTAGAAGAAGAAACTGCAGGTTTCCTTGGTGGTTCAGCTCTATAAACGTTGGATGGTTCATCCTTTTCTTCACTGCTCCCAGCCTTGTTTTGGTTAGCTCTTTCTCCTTCAAACTCCCTATACTTATGCAAATACCTTTTCAATTGATCTGCATAGTTATCAAACCCTAGAGTTGCAAGAGCCCAACAAATGTCATCTCCGTTAACTGTCTTCCGCTTCTCCTTGTGACACTTGTCCGATGCTTCTCCAGTTACAAAGCTAATGAACTCAGATACACATTCTTGCATGGTTTCTTTTGCTTCTTTCGATATTTTCGCATTAGGAGGCAAAATCTGCTTCATGATTCTCCCAACATTAGCTATGGGAAGTAATCGATCTTGCTCCTTAATGGAACTGGCACCATCCTCACCTGAGCCACAACTAGCTCCTGTACCTGCAACAGAAAAGTTATACCTATGGCGTTCTCTATCTAAACTATTGCCTATATTATCAACCATCTCTATAAAGAGAAAACTGATATCCTGTCAAACACAGACACGTCGCTTCCTCAGCTTCTAAGTCGCTTATATATATATATATGTTTATAGGTGTATAATTATGTATATGTATGGACTTAAACTCATGTATATATTGAGATGGTAAAGGTTCGCGAGCTGACGTGGCATGTAAGGACCACGTAGACCTGGTCACTGGTCATTGTCACTGGGGGGACACAGTGGCAGGCAATTTCCATTGTTAGTATGAGTTAGGTTCTTTTTTTAATTCTTTCAACGAGCTGTTTATGTGGTTGTGGCAATCAATAAACCCTAAAATGCTTTTATTTTTATAAAATAAAAAAGTCTCAAACTTATCAAAACCGTAGGCAAAATGGTCCCCTCCAGTTGGTACTTAAAGTTAATGCTCTCAATTAACTTTGAACTATGTTTCTCTTTAAAATATTGCTGTGAGTTTGAATTTGTGGACTAGAGTAATGCACGTGTGCTTGTTGCAGTGTAGACATAACCAAACTACTAACCTAAAAAAGAACCTATTACTTATAAATTACAAACCCTAGGGTTGGATTACCTACTTCTTAATTAGATCAATTTAATTATTTTTTACATTACAATTAATCGAAATTTCTAATGTCACTCTCGGATCCTGGAACTCTGGACTGCTTTATAATATATATGCCATAGCGATCTAGTTTTCTTGGATTATTGCTATTTATAGGTTAAGTAGGGTCGACATGTGGCAGCCAATGGCGTCAATCAGGAAAGCTTTTATTATGTATATACAAATTTGAATATTACACATCTTAATCTTTGATCATTATGATTGTTAAACCATCTTCACATACATTATGCAAGTACTTATGTTATTAATTAAGGTTTAATTAGACGGTCGGTACTAAAGCTTCCCCTCTAAGTTTTAATCTATTTAATAAAATATGTTTTAATTATGTAAACTAATTATGGATTAGATGCTACCATTCAAATTAAACATCACGATCTCATACGTTGAAGATTCGAGAAGAACAACAATCAATATAATAAAAAGAGGTTAAAGATTCGATGCCAGATCTTTCGTAAAATTTGATTTCTTTCTAATAATATATAAAGTCGTTCATTTGTTTGAAAAAAATATAGAAATTGATGCGTTGCTAATTAATTTATATATGAATATTTTTAAATTTATGTTACTATATATGTGTGTGTGTGTGTGTGTGTGTGTGTGTGTTGGGTCTTTGTAGTTACTTTAAATAACTTCTAAGCAAGAAATAGTACTTATATATATATTAAGCACTAAGTGTGTTGAGCATCACTTAATTAAAATTTGATTAGCAATGGCGAATGAATGGCAAGACACATGCAGTGAATGAGTGATCTTCAATCTATTGAACTATTGATGATTAAAAGTTTGAATTCCTGGTGAACAAAACCATGATTTTGGCTTGTACTGCATTATATATATATTCTTTTATATTTGTTGTTTGGTTTACATAAGGGACCATTTCATCAAGCATTGAAGGACTAGTTACTTGCTCATACTAGCTAGCATCCACGCATGGAATTCAGATTTATTTGCAAGATAAGTAGATCAAGATGACCACAAAACTACCAATTAGGTGTAAAATCTATTTCCTTTAGAGAAGCTCTTTGGCTGCACGTATGTATATGCCTAAGTATGTTAGAATGTATTAGAACTATAAAATCCGGATAGAGAGAGAGTAAAATCAAACGCACTTGCATAAATTTTCTTGGAACTTTTTTATCTTTTCTTCTCAATTTTTTTTTTTTTTTTTTTGGTTGGATTAATCGTTTCAAATCTAAAACATATGTAATGTAGTGAAAAAATAATAATAATGATAATAAATTTTGGCTGTTAATTAGCCAATGGAAAGAAAATAGAATGCAGAAGTGTGTGATTCAATATGAATTAAGCAGTACGAGAATGATGTGCATATATTGCTTTGTGCATATTCTCAAAGTCCAACAGATTAAACTAAATTTACATCTTTATAGAATATATCCCATCCACAAATTTAATATCGATCAAAGTATCTTGATATATGTACCAAATTTATCGCTATTTGTGAAAGGTAATTGCTTAACCAGCCAATCTTTTATCTCCTGCTCCTGCATCTAACTGTACTTCCCTGCGTGAAATCACTATTAAGAAAGAGGACTTGTGGTCCATGGAGAAAAGTGGAGGAAGAAAACAATAGAAAAGACATACTTATGGTTCTCATAACCCTTACTTTTTCTTAGTTTAATTATATGCTCTTATTTCTCATTCAAATTCCTAACTTCATTGTGATATATACAACTTGTAAAGAGTCCCATCTTGCTGAGATTTTGTATATATAATCAATTGTTTCCACAATCATGATCGTCGTGTTGTGTTTTAGTCAGAGAAAAACCCTAGCTAGCTACATATGGCATTCTTTTGGATGTTTATAGACAAATTTGAATTAAAAATTGGCGTCAAAACCAAGGGCTCCATCACAACTATATATCTAGATTGGATAATAACTAATAAAAGAAAAGAAAAGTCTGTGGTTGTGGCTATGCAGTGCAGACACTCAATCAAGGAAAGAGGAGTTGAATAAACTCTTAATAAGTTTAAATTATTAAGTTGTTTGAGGACCTTCAAGGAAAGTCACATTCTGTTCTCTTTTTAGAGTCCACCTTCTTACTTTGTTAAGATTCTTATCTCCATCACCTCTAGTGGGCATCTTAGTTGATCTGACCTACATTTTGAATCTAAACTTTGCACAGTAGGCTTTGGACAAATGATAAATTAATCTACTCTTCTCATTATGTCTTCTTTCGCTTTCTTTAACCCAACTTACTACGCCATATTCCATAATTGTATTTCCTTTCTTTTTAGAATTAAACTATTGCATCTTTTTTGTAATTAATTTTCTATTCATTCCTTTTGTGATACGTACAGCCACTTGAACAGTTTTTACTGGATGCTCCAGCACTTGATATTTTTTAATCTCATCTTGCTTTAATTATATATTTTATTAACTGATATTTATCCACGAATACACATACAAAAATCAAACAAATCTTAATATGACTCACTCCAAGAATGTGGATTCCAATTAAACATCAATACAAAACCACTAATCAACATTAGTTAACCAGCAAGGCAACAATAGTATATATGGTTAGATAGATAGATATCCATGTTTAATTCCTTCTTAAAAATGATAAATTAATGCTAGAACCACCCTTGATATGAAAATCAGGAATAATACTAATATAACCAGTAATGAATTAATCAATTATTGAAGATGAATGAAAATATAAGATTAAGAATACATACATATAACATTACTTGAAAACCAAATTCGATCGTCAACATTATTGATTGTGTTAACCATTAGACTGATATTACCAGTACCAACATAAATAATTTTGGAAGTATGCTTAAAACTTCAGCTCAGTAGCACTTGTGGACTCTTTTGGTGAATCTCAAACCAAAATTAAAAAGCAAAAGAGTTCTTCATAAAATTATGTTTTTAAATTCTATTTTATAATTTGTTTTTCATCCGAAAGAAAAACCATATTTCTTCCTTAAAACTAAACTGTAATTCCAAGCAATTGACACTTGTTAAGTTCATCTTTCTTCCCTCTTTAATTTAATCCTTGTGAAATATATTTTGCCAGATATAAATAACAAGAGAGTAAATTTTATATTGTATTATTTTAAGTTTTAACCAAAGTTTTACATCCTAGATTATGTATTTTTTATTTTTTTTTGTTATATTACATTAATAATATGATAATATTATAAGATAAAATAAAATCTGAGAAATATAAATAGTTTTGTCAAGAAATACCAATGGCAAGGCTAACCATCTGATCTTAGGCCTTTCGTGTATATAACAAACTGGGCTTTGACGCCTAATGGATTTGTTTGGACTTTGGATTTCTTAAGACTTGGAAGGCCGGTGGATTCTGCCATTACAGAAATTAAAAATATAAAAGTATTCTAAAACTATGTCCCAAATAAATGGCATGTAACATCTAGAAACAATTATGTTCTCCTTTCCAACATTTATTTTCTTAGCCTTACCGTAGACCTACTACTTTTCAATTAAATTTATATAATATTTCAAATCTTCTATTTATGTTTCTTGTTCATATATGACGTGTGAAAATCACAGACAGTTTCTAATATTTTCCCAGTTATATCATATGACTCAATCAGAACCATTGAATTTGCCAGATGTATGTTGCTCATAAACTTAATAGTCTAACTTCATCCATTGTTAGCCGTCACCACCGTGATTCGTTGGATCGACAACTGTTTCTTAGTGAAAGTGAAACTGGCCCTAGATGGGGACCACCCACCATTCTTCTCGCAGTTCATATTAGATTTTTGGAGCTAAGCTAAGTGGGTCCTACTAACTCCATGTCAGCAATTGATTATATTAAACAATTTAAATAAAAAACGTCACCGCCTGACCAAATAAAATCTTCGTGGAAATCGTGATTATGCAAAAAAGGGATTAAAAATAAATATCCAAATATTTCAGAAAACGAAGAAAACAATATTAAAAAAAAAAACAAAATTACATTTAGTTGAATGTATTTTCAAACAGGTATAAAAACCATTTTCCGTCCCAAAATCCTAGTACTTGCCTTTTAAATGTATATATATAGCCAAACATGCCCTTATAATAAGAGAGCAACGTGCCTTAAAAAGTTAAAATTACATAAAATTCCAACAAATCAAGAAAAAAACAAATATAAAAAAGCAAGACTTGTATGAACCTTATAGTAATTTCACTAATTCATGGAAACCCACCTGCGAACTTGAGTGGTCTCACTCTAGTTCTCATAAATACACGCGTTAATCTTCATTCTTTATCTCTTTCTTTGTTTCAACAGTCAAGATAATTTTGCTTTTGATTGATTTTCTTCCTTTCTCTCTCTTTGCAAAGTCCTCAACAATTCAACTCTCATGTCCATGATACTTCAACTCTCTTATACGAGGTAAAAGAGCTTAAGAGCCAATCTTTTTACTGTACTATAACATGCTTTATTTTCTTTCTCTGTCTTTTTGTTCACTTTTTCCAGCATAAAAAATAAGTTGACAATCGATGTTTGTTGATTGATAACTGTAAAAACCATTTCCCAGGTTTGGTTTTTGACATGGGATTCAACGTTCAAGTTCTTTTGTTGAGGTTAGCAAATGCTCCTTTGAATCGTTCTTTTCATGTTTTTTTATCTGTTTTGTTATTCGTATGTGACTTATTCTACCCCTCTTGTTGTTTTTAAAGTTGCTTAAGTGGTTGAATCAAATTCAGTGATGATCGAATTTTCACTACAACATTGGTGATATACTTTTGTTTGATACGTTTTACTTTAATGCTATTGGTTGTGATGGGATTATGCTGTATTCTTCATATTAAAGAGTTATATCTTACTTGGGTTTCTTTGATTTTGCATTTTAATGATTTCTTTTCTGTTTAATTATTACGTTAACATGTTTCTTGGGGTTGAATATTGGTTATGGTATTGTTGTTCGTGGTGGTTATTTTCATTAATTCTTTTTCTTTTTTCTTTTTTATTTTTCACATGCAAAGCTTATTTGCCTTACCTCTGTTATATCTACTTCAAGTACTTTCCGTTATTCAACTTCCAATAAATATTCTGGGTTTAATTTTCCCATTATAGTTTTTTTTTTTTTTTTCCAATAATAATATGGTTGGGTAACTTACTGCATTTAGAAAGAGTCTTCCGACATAGATTGGCTGATATCTATGCAGATTTTTCTTTTTCTTCCTTCTTGTTATTTTATTATTATTATTTTTTCATCAAAGCTCCTTTATTTTGGACCATGGCTTTATCCATTGCTGGCACTAGCATATTCAACAATTCCTAGGAATAACAATGTTGTTCTGTATGCAGCATACAGAACATCAATTCTGTTTCTATCGTTCTGAAATGAAGTCAACCAGAGTAGTAGTAGATGAACCATCTGTTCATTAGAGTATACAAGAACCACTCAGTAGATGCCAGCATTCAGATGAGATTAGAAAGTCATTTATGTACTCTTTCTTAATGGGTCGAAATGTACTTACAGAAAATCAACTTTAGTTTTTACCTAGTTGACATTCAATTGTTTCTTGGCTTCAACCCCTAGTAATCAAGATCATTACACTCCACGAATTAGGTTCAGTAGATTCTTCTATTGTAGAATAATGGAATTGTTCTTTTTTTTTTTGTTGGTCCAACTCAGTTTTCTCATATTTTAAATTCAGCATTTTAATTTTACTTTTTGTATACTGTCTTTCTTTTTCAGATATCATAACCTTTATACACATGGGGAAAGCATCCTTCCCATCTAAAGCATTTGGCTTCAAAGGCTGGTGATTTGCAATCTTCATACTTGAAGATTGTATGCATGTAAATTTGCTGACTTCAATAACTGCTGCAATTTTGGAGATAAACTCTATCCATTTGGATAGAATTATGCAAAGGGTTGATGATGATTCTGATGGGCAGTTACTTTCTCCTTCTTCAACTGATATGAGTGATAGTTTTGACGACCCAGAGGTCGTCCCTCGTGTTGGACATGAGTACCAGGCAGAAATTCCACCTGTTGTTTTGAAAGATGATTATTTGCAACAAATAGATGAGCCAACTGATTCAAAGACCATGATTAATCTATCAAACCGGTTTTCTCTGGGGTTGCACATTCCACTTATGTGGGCAAATACTGTAATTGAAAATGTTAATGGAACTTTAGAGTTTGAGAATATTGAAGAGAGCCGGATTACTTCAAATGATGAAATTTCTGAACCTAAAGATGCATCTCTGGGTAGTGTGTTGTGTGATGGGAATGAAGCCCTGGGATATTCAGACCTTCAATGCTCAAATGGAAGTCATCTGATGGATGGTGGTCTAGTCGTACCTCAGGAATCAAAAAATAAGTTGGATCAGGTAGACAGAGGTCTCTGTCTTCTTCCAGGTTCTTTGGGTGAATCTTGGGTGCAAACTGAATGTGAGAGTTTTCTCCTAGGTCTATATATTTTTGGAAAAAATCTTAACCTTGTGAAGAGATTTGTTGAGAGTAAAGGGATGGGAGATGTATTGTCTTTCTATTATGGGCAATTTTACAGATCTGATGGATATCGCCGATGGTTAGAATGCTGGAAATTAAGGAGCAAACGGTTTGTGCATGGACAAAAGATATTCACTGGATGGAGGCTACAGGAATTGTTATCAAGACTAGTTTCTCATGTCTCAGAGGAATGCAAAAATATGTTGCTTGAGGTATTTTCTTTTTCTATGTTTAATTTTGTGTTAGCTAAAAACACAAAGCTCACTACCTGATATCTATTCTTTGATTATGTGATAATAAATCCACTGTCATTATTGCAAGTTTTTTCTAAGCAATGTCAAGATTGCATTTTAATTGAATTATTGAGATGTTCTCAAGAAACATCATGGTTCATGGAGGACATATTTACACAAGCTCAAAAATGAAGGTGAGAAACACATGTTTATGAGTTATTCTAGGTCTAGATTTTGATTTTCGTTACCAAAGAGAAAGTAGTAAGTGCACTTAACTTTAGCTATGTATGAAATTCCAGAGATTTCTTTCAGTTCATCCTTGAGGCTTCTTTGGTTCTTGGAAAGTACAAGTTAAAGGAAAAAAACTTGATAATAGCCTTCTTTGTCAGGATTCATAACCATTTTTAAGTGATATCCTTTTCTTGGTATTTTCTAAACAGCCAACCAACTGGATGAGTTTGAAATATATCTGAGACACATCCCGAAGATTCCTAGGAGTTTATCCAACAGTTATTCATTCCCAACCTAACAACTCTCAACTTAATTTTTTAGCTGTCAAATGTGTCTTTAAACCTATAATTAAGTTGGAGACATGTTTGGCAGTCGCTTTTTTGAAGATCAGATTAGAAAATTCTATTTATAACTAAATTTGTTCCTGCTGAAGTGAAATTGAAGTTAGAAATCACCTTCTAAGATTAATTGTGAATTCATTTTTGTTGGATGGAACTAATTTTGTCGTACTGAAAGCATGAAGAATAGGATACACGTAGGAAGAGAAATCGTTGCTGCAGTGAGTTCATCTTTTTAAGGTTGTCTTCCTGAAGAGTCCATTAATCTCTCTGAGAAGTTGTGTTCTGTACTTGTGGAAGTTAATAGATTTTTATGATAGCTAGTTTATAATTGTGTCACTAAGTCTACTCCATGTTTATTATCAAGAAATATATTGTATCCTATTTATTTATTTAATTATAATGTGATCATTGTAGGCTTCTAGGAAATTTGGCGAGGGAAAGATATCTTTTGAAGAATATGTTTTCACTTTAAAGAATACTGTTGGCGTCAAGATGCTCATTGAAGCAGTAGGTGTTGGTAAAGGGAAGCAAGATCTCACAGGCACTGCCATGGAGCCAATAAAGACCAATCATGTGTTTTCTCTTCGTTTTGAAATACCAGTTGGCAAAGCCTGCTCCTCTCTTAAACCTGCAAACATTATAAGATTTCTAAGAGGAGATTTCAGGTTAAGTAAAGCCCGATCAAATGATTTATTCTGGGAAGCTGTTTGGCCTCGTCTTTTAGCAAAAGGATGGCACTCTGAGCAGCCTAAGGATCATGGCTTTTCTGGTTCAAAGAACTCGTTGATTTTTCTTATACCTGGTGTTAAGAAGTTCTCTAGAAGGAAACTTGTGAAAGGTGACCACTATTTTGATTCCATTAGTGATGTGTTGAATAAAGTCGCATCAGACCCAGGGCTTCTTGAGCTTGAAAGTGAAGCAGCTAAAGGTGTTGAACAAAAGGAAGAAGATAAGTTGGACCAACCAATGAAGCAAGACGCAGATGGTTTGTCAAATAAGCAACATCATTGTTACCTGCAGCCACGGAAGTCAAATTACAGTCGACATCTAATACAGTTCACAATTGTAGATACTAGTTTGTTTCAAGGAGCAGGACGACCTAAAGTGAGAGAGCTTAGAAGTTTACCTGCTGAAATTTCTACTCTATCTGCGCCTTCTAATCTTTCCAGTGAATCTGAGGAAGATACATCTGATGATGAAGAAGATGAAGAAGAAACTAATACTACCACCACTGCAGATAACATGACTGATAAGGGAGTGTGTGTGGACTCATCAGATTGTGCAAATAGCATTCTGAATAATAGTATGCCTAACACCCCAAGTTCCACAAATGTAGCAGTGGAAAATCACAACACAGGTCCTGTGGACAAGCAGCCACAGCAGCTGGAGTGTAGTAAGTATGAGTTCTGCCAGAATGCAAATGCTGGCCATTCAAAGTGTTTGGCCTGTGCTATTGAACCTGAGGATTTAACAACTTGCAACCATGGAGATTCTAGCTGCGGTATCGACAATATCTGTGTGGACCAGAAGCTAGATGAAAATGTGTCAGATTACAGATCAAACTTGAATGACGCATGTGACATGGTTTATCAATTAGGTCCTCCCCAAAGATCTCCTGCCAGCTCTTTAGCTAAAGGCAGTCCAGATAGGAGCTATGAAGAGGATTGCCTAGATAGAGAAGTATCTCCAGAAAAACCTGAACACCATACATTGATAGACTTGAATTTACCTCAAGTTTCATCAGATTTTGGAAATGATGAACCATTCACAGACATGGTGCAGAATAGTGACAATGTGAGTGAGAACAAATCATCTACTGTAATTGAAACCAGCCATCAGGTTGAAGAGTTGAAGCTTGCTGATGATAGGGACAGTAGAGATAAACAGCTTATCATGAACAACCGAAGGCAAAGTACAAGGAACCGACCATTGACTACAAAAGCACTAGAGGCTTTAGCGTTTGGGTACTTAAGCCCAAAGAGAAAGAGAAAGGACGCTGAGGCTCCTCAGAGTAAGTCGGTGTCAAAAACTTCAAGACGAGTCCGTGGGAAGACTGATGTTAGTGGGACTCTTAGCAATGGTGCTGGAACCAATAATGCTGACTCCAGAATAGAGCAGAGCTTGGATGCATTATATGGTAACACCAACATAGTTGGTGAGTCTCAAGTCTGATGGTTGTAGAAAATGTGCGAGCCAATCGCTAAAGAGGGGTTTTGCATTCCATTTTGGAGGTTTTTTGTTGGGACTAAATAGTTACATAACACTGAAAGAAAAACACAGGAATCCTTCTGTTTGCCCAAGTAGCCCAGACTTGTGACACACGTGGCCAACGTAGTATAGCAAATATCACACGGATAGGTTTGTAATACTGAATTCAGATGACTTAGATAGGCCGAAAATCTTGTTTCAACCAGTCACTTGTTATCAAAGTTTCCAAATTTTGCAGTCACATGACTCACACCAGTACAAAGTTGACTGTTCATACTCATCATTTTGTTGTAATAAGTATATAGCTGTTCTTTTGTCTGTGTTCAAAAATAAAAGCACGTAGCGGGAGATACACATTTTCAGCCTTATTTATGCTTCCTTGGCTACTTGAACATAAGGAACTTTCTGAAACTTTTCTCGTCTTGATTTCAACTAGAATTCGGAAACTGGGTCCAAGAAGTCTTAATTTGTTAGTAAAAGGAAAGAAAATAGACTATGCCAATTTTCTCGGATATGCCAGTCATCAGATATTAGCATAGAACATGTGGGAAATTAAATGATAGGTAAGTTAACAACTGCTGATTTCCCGGTGGCCATTTGAACTTAAAACGGTTTTGGTGAGAAATCTTGCAATTAGGAAGATGAACTTAAAGAGTAATATTACCATCATGCTTTTGTCATGTCATTTGATGTTATTTAATTTACTGTTAATTTTGAATTTCTATTCTCCTTGCACCATATATTACATAATCAAGGAGATGAGTTATATGCAAAACAATTTATTTATGTACATTAAATTTATCAGTCGGTTGAAACGACAGCACTCTATCAACTCAGAAGACGTTTAGAAGTCTAAAATTGAATTAAATGATTGATCATAATTTGAGGCATGGAGCCATGGACCTTTGTTGCTTCAAATGATCGACCCCACCATAAAAGGCCGGTGGTAATCACCATGTTTATCATAAATTAAGCTAATAATTGTTGCTTCTATGAATAAGGATTTTCATCCTGTCTCTTTCTAAATTTATCTTTAAATTAGTCAAAGGTGTAATTTTTTTCAACAGGAAAAGAAAGGTGTTAACATATAAATTAAATATTTTTACTTTTTTACGAATTAAAGCTAATAAGATTAATGGTGTAGTCTTTCTCATCAATATCAAATTAGCTACGTACCTAATTGAATACACGTAATCCACCAATTAAAATAATAACCTCTAAACTCTAAGGCTATGAAATGGACTTGCCTTTTAAGTGATAAAATTTCAAAAAAAATATATATATATATATATATATATATATATACCTTGTAGTATTATTCTAAGCAAACCAATTGACACCAAATAGACAAATTGTTTCATGCTTGATGTTGGACCAAAATGCTAAAATATCTTCTTCTGAATCTCATATAGTTTATTTTCGTAATTGGTCTATATCAAACGAGAATAGAGTATTCTTTTGTTTTCTTCTTTAATTAAACATCCTTTTCATGAGTCTTAATTACAATTATATATGTTCATCGAGAGGAATATAATGGTTTGGCTTTGGCCGTCCTTTTGTGTTGGTTTTATCCATGCAGTTCCTTTGCTAATGTCAATTAGTAGCTGGGTCAGTCTTGTTAATTTAATTTATTTAATTAATTGATTATGTAGCATTTTTCATTAACAGGCAGCATCCAAATGCAGCTTAGGTCGTCTTTTATTAGGTTTTATCATAGTTTAATCATGAAAATTATTGAAGAACACTTATAAAGTTGGAAAACTTTTGGCTTTACATTGTTGTGTTGACGTTTGCTTCATAAATTACATCGATCTTCAACGATAATAACTAAGCAATCTTTTTGTCTTCACCTCTCTCCATCTTCTTAATTTGACTGGAGTTTCAGAATTTAGTGTGTGTTTGATATTATTCTATCTTCTGTCTGCTTCTTGTTTCTCTCAGTAAGCTCACATGCATGCCCCATCTATATCTTTTACCATGTAAGACGACAAAAGTATTGCCAAGAATGTGCCAAGAATGTGTTTGATCTTAATTAAAGAATGTGAAATGGGATGAATGAAATTCCCTTAGACACTGTCAAGATTGCAACATGATGGTTGTTTGTGAGGTGGAATCTTTATCATTTATCTAGTCAGTCTTTCTTATGAGTGGGCTATGATGAATTTAAGAAACTATCCAGCTTCTTCATTTGTTTCATTAATATTTTATCTAATCCATGGAGATAAACATTTTGTATTGTCTTTCCAGGATTATGGTTATATTTATTTATTCTGGTTTGATCCCTTTTTCCCAATGCAAATGAAGCATTTCCACCACGTTGGATTGACAACTTTAGTTGGCATTTGGCCGTAATACGTAGTGGGTATTCCAAGGCAATTATAAAAGGATCAGAAGANTTAATTGATTATGTAGCATTTTTCATTAACAGGCAGCATCCAAATGCAGCTTAGGTCGTCTTTTATTAGGTTTTATCATAGTTTAATCATGAAAATTATTGAAGAACACTTATAAAGTTGGAAAACTTTTGGCTTTACATTGTTGTGTTGACGTTTGCTTCATAAATTACATCGATCTTCAACGATAATAACTAAGCAATCTTTTTGTCTTCACCTCTCTCCATCTTCTTAATTTGACTGGAGTTTCAGAATTTAGTGTGTGTTTGATATTATTCTATCTTCTGTCTGCTTCTTGTTTCTCTCAGTAAGCTCACATGCATGCCCCATCTATATCTTTTACCATGTAAGACGACAAAAGTATTGCCAAGAATGTGCCAAGAATGTGTTTGATCTTAATTAAAGAATGTGAAATGGGATGAATGAAATTCCCTTAGACACTGTCAAGATTGCAACATGATGGTTGTTTGTGAGGTGGAATCTTTATCATTTATCTAGTCAGTCTTTCTTATGAGTGGGCTATGATGAATTTAAGAAACTATCCAGCTTCTTCATTTGTTTCATTAATATTTTATCTAATCCATGGAGATAAACATTTTGTATTGTCTTTCCAGGATTATGGTTATATTTATTTATTCTGGTTTGATCCCTTTTTCCCAATGCAAATGAAGCATTTCCACCACGTTGGATTGACAACTTTAGTTGGCATTTGGCCGTAATACGTAGTGGGTATTCCAAGGCAATTATAAAAGGATCAGAAGAGGTTATCTCTGGGACAATTACGAGAAAGAATATATCCATAGATCAGGCTGTATGATCAGATTCTTTTGGTGAAGAAGGTTGAAGATACAAAAAGTTTTTCTTACGTTACGTTCCTCGCCTGGTTTACACAGGTATGATATGAAAATTACCCAACAACTGAATCACATCAGAGTGGTAAACACGTTAATTTGTTGAATTCCATTGGTGAATAGCCATAGGCCGAAGAACAATTTCAGTGTTCACACAGTGAAGATTATTTTGGGCATATCATATGTAAACTTAGCTTTCGTCGTTTTAAAGTAATAAACTCTACTAGAAAACAAACCAGCAACATCTTTTATGTCATTAATTGAGTTAATTTTTAAACACCTATAGACATGGACTGGTTTGTTCCCTTCCATCGTTTGGATCAAATGAGACAAAATAAAGTTCGGCACCGTCAAGCTTTATAACAGAAACAGTATGTAATGATACAATAAGCTTCACCTTCATAAATTTCTATAAAAATTTGATGAAATGGGTAATTTGCTACATGATTTAAAAGAGTATCTAGAAAGTAGGGTGTTGTTGCAAAGCATATAAAACAAACGAATGAATAGGTGTGTTATTTCACCAATTTAACTACTGATCACTATAACATTCCTAAAACCAGCACGTTTATTGTCATGACAATTTTAATCTCAATGTCTGGTCAGTAAATTAAACAGATCTTGTGAAAATATATACAGTTGTCCCCTTGGTGGGGGTCATGGATTAGACAAGCTATTTAACATATTGGTGATTGCTTTACCTTTTTCTTAACCACTTTTGATTACTAAGACAGCCGTTTGATCTTGGGTTCCTTTCATTCATTTGGTATATAATAATTGAGAGTAATTTACCATCTGGTATCAGTTTGCTGCACTGCAAAACTTGAGCAGAAAATGAACAAAATATTTGTTCTCACTTCTCAGAATTTTTTAGCTTCTCATAGGAAGTTTTTACCCTGGCACCATTTTGAAAATCATTTCTCTTGTTAGTTTATGAGCTAACCTTCAATAATAGCCGGTCGTACATGCCTTTGGCCTTAATGACATTAAGTTAATTATCTAATAATAAAATTCAGTACTAGCAGCTAAAGCTTAGGACATGATAATACTCCAGCTGATCTTAATCTGACTGCCGCTGAAAAGTTAAAACATTATTCACAACTTTATTGAACATGAAATATTGGTATCTGGGCCCAAAATTTATTCATAATTTACATAATTTATCTGGGACATGATACAACTCATTTCTCTAGTGAATATCAGCTTGTAAAATTATATGATGATGTTTGAGCTTGGATCAGTGATCGTGAAAGAGTATATACAGAGGAGTCAATCATGAGGTACGCCTCTTTTATATACTACGAATTGTTTTATAAGGTTGGTTAATAAAAATATAAAGAAGTAAGCATGAAATGGCAATTATTATAATACCCATGACAAAGCAGGGGCATTTGATAGGCAGTTGTCTCTTGTGAACACTATATATATATATTTATATTTATATTTATATAAAGCCAAAGAAAGACCAAATTTCAATGTTAGTCTTATGTAGCAAATAGTTCTCTTCTTCACCTGAAATTAAGGAGAATTCCCTGGTTTTTGTCTTCCTCTAGTGAGAGCAGATTCCTGATTTTGTGTAGACCAAAAAACAAGCCCCCCATCTTGAGTGAGATAACCAACANATGTTTGAGCTTGGATCAGTGATCGTGAAAGAGTATATACAGAGGAGTCAATCATGAGGTACGCCTCTTTTATATACTACGAATTGTTTTATAAGGTTGGTTAATAAAAATATAAAGAAGTAAGCATGAAATGGCAATTATTATAATACCCATGACAAAGCAGGGGCATTTGATAGGCAGTTGTCTCTTGTGAACACTATATATATATATTTATATTTATATTTATATAAAGCCAAAGAAAGACCAAATTTCAATGTTAGTCTTATGTAGCAAATAGTTCTCCTCTTCACCTGAAATGAAGGAGAATTCCCTGGTTTTTGTCTTCCTCTAGTGAGAGCAGATTCCTGATTTTGTGTACACCAAAAAACAAGCCCCCCATCTTGAGTGAGATAACCAACAACTAGAAAGAAAGAAAGAAACAATAGAGTTTTGGAAAAGGAAAAAGAGAGACAGACAAACTTTGTATAATTATCTCAAAATCTTTTGTTCCAAATGTCAAATATCACAGGTGACGAAGGGAGCCTCTCTTCAGGAAATACGGGGGAAGAAGTCCACCAGCATCAAGAAAAGCAGCACCAACAAAACCTACAGAATCACTTACAGGGTTCCACTTCAGGACCTTCTGCTGCAACTAACAGCAATGGCTCTACCTCTCAACAACAACAACAACAACCGGTTGCAAAGAAGAAAAGGAATCTCCCGGGAACTCCAGGCAAATTCAACCACCCCCATCAACTTCAATTATGTTTTTTATACTAATTATGTATATAGTCGTGTTCTTAGTAATAAGAAAACAACATTTATTATTTTTATGACATCCAGCACATGGCCAACCTTTGATCAACCAACATGATTTCTAAATTTGTCATGGCCGGTTTTGAGTATTGAAACATGATTTTCAAGAATTAATGGAAGTATTCTTGGCAGTTCGATTTCTAAAACTATTTTCTCAGATTTTTGAAGTTTTTATGCAAGCATAAATGTGAAGGTGGATTTGATCCAATTCCAAAGAACTAAAGTATAGTTCCTTGAATTAATTATGATCATAACTAAAGGCGCCGATTGATTTTCGCCAAGAAAAAAAAAAAGATGGTTACATGAAAAGTCCAATTATTGCTTAACAGATTACAATTATTGCCGAGAAGTACTATTTGCTTGATTGTACTTTTAGTATCTCTTTTTGTTTTTGCCTGTTCTAAACTATGGGGCCATGAATCTATCTCATGGAATTACACCACTGTGTCAGTTGGACTTAAGCCTTTGACTAGTCAACTTGTTTTCAAATATCTTTAACTATACATTTTGATCATGAATTGAACAAGATTATGCTAATTATGTTTCAGATCCAAATGCTGAAGTTATTGCCCTATCACCAACAACCCTAATGGCTACAAACCGGTTCGTGTGTGAGATTTGCAACAAGGGATTTCAGAGGGACCAAAACCTACAGTTACACAGGAGAGGCCATAATCTTCCGTGGAAACTCAGGCAAAGGACTACAACAGAGGTCAGAAAACGGGTTTATATATGCCCCGAGCCAACATGTGTTCACCACAACCCAGCTCGCGCATTAGGAGACCTTACTGGCATCAAAAAGCACTTCAGCCGTAAACATGGGGAGAAGAAATGGAAATGCGACAAATGCTCCAAGAAATATGCAGTGCAATCGGATTGGAAAGCTCATCAAAAGACCTGTGGTACCAGGGAATACAAATGTGATTGTGGAACCATCTTTTCCAGGTGAACCTAACATATAACATATATTGCATATAATATAAATTTGCCTCTTTTTGGCGATTTTTATAGATAAGAGAATTGGTTTTGCATGGTAAATTCTCGACTTCGAAGGCTGTCAATTGAGGCCTAGGCAGAGTTGGCACTATACTGCGATTAGGCTTTTTTTTTTCTTCTTAGCTTAAGATTTTGCATGATTGTCTTTTGCTTTGTGATCAAATAAACATTAGAAAATGGCCGACATAAGATAGACACTTTTACGCTTTCTTTTTGACGCCTTTTTTGCAATCAAGTTTGAAATCGCTGTCTTTCTCTGATCTCTGTCTTCACCTAGATTACAAAGTCTTATCATTCTTTTTTATTATTATCACAAAGAAAGAAAAAAAAAAAAAAAAAAACCTAATATGACCCCACTGCTTATCCTTGTGACGCAGACGAGATAGCTTCATTACCCACAGAGCTTTCTGTGATGCATTGGCTGAAGAAAACAACAAAGTAAACCAAGGACTGATGAACAACATTGGATCAAACATGCAAAGCCAGATGCCAGAGCTTATGTCATCAATGCCCTTAAACACCGCTACCAATACATCCATTGGAATGTCTGATTTGAACAATTTCGACCCCAAAAACCCCCTCAAATCCCTTCCTCAAGATCTAGTCCCAATGCCTTTTAAGTCCATGAACATGGGAGGAGGTATGTTCTCCAGCAGCTCCGGGACTCTCTTTGGCGCTCCAAGAACCGTTTCCTCATCTTCTTCAAGCCTCCAGCTTAGCTCCAATACCGCATCGGGATTCAACTATCTCCAAGATAGTAAAAATGGATGCCAAATTTCGGGAACGGCTCACATGTCAGCAACAGCCTTGCTGCAGAAAGCAGCCCAGATGGGTGCAACCGCAAGCAATAGTATAAACTCTCCCATGATGCAAAAGAGCTTTTCTAGTAGCATGGCAGGTCCTGACCAGCTATCTTCGATCAAACCACCATCTTATGGAGTCATTCAGCAGCATAATACCTCATATGAACACTTTCCATCTCAGCCGGACCAGTCAAACATGGTTGGAATCAATGGTGGTGCATTCACTAACCATATCACGCCAAAGACCTCACAAGAAATATCACAACTTTTTGATACTGGTACAGGAAGTCAAGCAATGAATGATATGGGAATCTTTACTAGTATGTACACGTGTGGTGAGCAAAACCAATTCTTGAAAAACATGGAGCATGAAGATAGTAGTGGTAGTTCAAGCTTGATACAGGCAAGACCTGGAATAGAACGTAACTCGACAGGACCATCAAGGTTTGGAGGAAGTAGTGGGGGTGGTGATGTGATGACACTTGATTTTCTGGGGATTGGAGGATCAAGGCCAACCAATTTACATGAACAACAGCATAATCAGTTGCATCAACAAAGAATGGAACTTGAAGCAATGAGCCAGCAAAGAATGCCAATAATGAATCCCTTCCACCAGCAGCTTTCACATGGTGATTCAGCAATTGAAAAACCCATCTGGGATGTTTGACTAAATTCTAAACTTTTGTTTTTTGATTTAGCTTTAGTGCTATATCCATGGAAGAATAGTCTTCTGAGTTCTGACCACATTCAGAGACAGAGAAGAAGGCTACCAGTTAACTACCAAAGTGTTTGGTTGGTTACTCAGCAACTTGGTCAATGTAAAACATGAGCCTGTAATTTGAATTCATATGGTCCTCCTCATGCATAATCTAATGAGATAGCTCTTTGTGATATTTTATTAACCTTATTTTGAGACTTGAGTTGAGGCAGGGAATATTTTTCTTCAAACAGAAACAAAAATGGTGTCTTTAATAAAATATACAATAATTCATTCTGCAACGTCCTAACACAGTATAACCATGAGCGCCTGTCCTACCATTTGAACTACTTAAAGGTGGGTTAATAATAGCTATTAACCTCAACAAATTTATCCCCAATTTTTTTTGTCCATCTTTAGACTTTGAGATAATTGCAGAATTTAATTTGGAACGTCATATTTTTTCTGTTAATTTTCAAAAATATCCTTACTGTAAGCTAACAAAGAAAAGAAGATTGGGCCGTAAGAGCCGAATGGGCTAAAGGTTAAGGTTCAGATGGACCAGGCCCATGACTAAAGGGGCAGTGTCGTAATTCAATACGGAGAGTTGCTTCATCGCACTTACGAACAGCCAAGGAACCCTAACCCTATTGCAGATTTCTTCTATATATATGTACCGGTTAAGCTAGGTCTCACCATCTCTCTCTGTATATCTCACGCACACACTCACAGAATTGCCATCTAAGCTTTAGGGTTTATGTTTAAGGTTTAGGTTTTATATTTAAAGTTTTTCCCATAATGGGGATTGTATCATTTCTGTGGTTGCGAGTAAAGAGTATGAGGCTGTGATGTTGATAACTACCTATTTTATGAGGGATAAATTATCCCTAGTGATTATAAACACCAATGGATCCTTCTGAGCCGAAACTCTTTTTTCATCTTGATTTTTGTTTTTTTCTTCTCTGATTTGAAATGAATCGAGACTTTAGAGCCACTGATGTGATGATATATTTTTCGGAAAATATGATGTCGACTAAATAACAGACTACAATTATCTGATCTCTGGCTCTCGCATCAAACTTACAAATTCCTTTTCTATTTCGTTTTCTTATTATAATTTATTACACATTGGAAAGTATATTGGCCTAAATTTGAAGAGAATGCGAAACCTGGGCAGCTGGTGTTGTGGGCATTGAGCAGTCATTTGATTGATTGAAATCTTGAATTTTAGCTTATTTTAACAAGCAAAGTATAATCCAAATCTCTAACCTCTCCGAACTATTAGTACTCAGCTGCCACACTCATTTGTTTGTGCTACGATAGTCGCAAACTACTCCCTTCGTTTTATATTTCAATATAAGTGACTTTTTAAGTTTGTATACAGCTAAAAAAATTTGAACTCTCTCCCATCTTACTTTTTTGCTCCGATTTCACAGGTGGGAAAAACTTCAGCTTGCACACATAATTATTTAAATAATTTAATATATATATTGCCATTTTTTTCCTCTTATTATCAAGATAAGATAAGCGATATTTAATTTTTAAAAAAATTACACTTTCAAAACGATATTTGAAAAAAAACAAAGGGAGTATATGATATAAAGTTCAGTCTTCATAAACTGGATCCTTTTGTTAAGTTTGATTTCCTACGGTAGTCTTTATACATGGCTTTGGAAAATATTGAACAATACTATATTTATAATTAGTCATACAAATAGGCATACGAAAAACAAAAGAAATATTAGTTATTTTATGTAAATTTTATACAATTTTTGACTGGTTACATATAACTCTAAGCAAAACATGATTGAAAAATATTTGTAAGATTTTGGTAGTAATTTGAAGTCTGAAACAAAATACTCCCTCTGTTTTTTTTTTAAATATCATTTTGAGGGTATAATTTTTTTTTCAAATTAAATGTCGTTTATCTTGTCTATGATAATAGAAAAGAAAAAATGACAATATATATATATATATATTAAATAATTCAATGTGTGCAACAGAAAAGGTTTTTCCATCTACAAAATCAGAGCAAAACTTTTCCCACAGTCAAGTGGGAGAGCGATGAAATTTTTTCATCTAAAAGTTATGTACAAACTTAAAAAGTCATTTATATTGAATCGGAGGGAGTATTATTACAACCACCCACTCAAGGCTTTTGGAATGTTATCATTTCTTCTTGTTATTGCACACCTCTCTGGGAGATGATGAATGAAACATTATGATACTCTACTACAACAAACCAATGTCCTCCCTTAAAGCTATGTTTCTCTTTCAATGCCATACTACAAATACAAAACAAACAGGTTCCATTCTCTGTTTGTTGCATTTCCGCTATTGTGGGATTGGGCGCCCCAATTTTAGCTGTAAACTTACTTGAAAAACATTAGAGGTTGCCTTTAAAATCTCCTGTTCTGCTTCTGCTGCCACTTTCATTGCATCCCTGTCAATTGTCATCAGTAAAAAGAAATTTGTCAAACAGTTTTATTGTTGTCATCAAATTCGGTGATGTCAGAAGTAACCAAGTAATACCTAATCAAAATGTCAGGAGGCATGGAAACTTCAATTTGGAGTAAAATCCTGCCTTGCAACAAGTGGTGAGTTATGCGCTCAACCACAATATTCTGAAAATCAGAATTCTATTAATTCATGAGACAGAATAAATATATTTCAATTAAACAACATATAAAGTGAAACGTTTAATGAAAATGTCCTATCACCACCAACTAATTAGTAAAATGCTCATGCATGGCTCAGAGAGCATCATGGTCAAGTGGAAAACAGTAGAGGCATCAACAGAATTCGATTGTCATCTAAAGCTTGGAAGTTACAACTTCGACAATCAGAACTACCTGACTCGTTATTTTCTCTACCTTGAACCAAAGGTTTCAGCAACATATTACTTCATGTGGTACACCCGAACGTAGAAGATACTTGAAATAATTACCAAGGAGATTGTGTAGAATAAGGAAGCAACATCAGTTGATGGAAAACCAAGATTCAATAATCCTTCCAATATTAATAAAATCTCCTGGGTGCTATATTTGATATAAAAAGCCATGTAGCATGTATTCTATAGGCATATACTTATGACATAGTTCACTATCAATATACCATAAATTTACCAGTATATAAGCATTTTAAGTTCACTCAACTAAGAGAAAAAGAAAATACCTCTGGGAACTTTGATGAGAAAATATTGTGAACAATAGCTTCAATATCTGAGTCCACATATATATTATCCTTTTGATTTACGGCTCCCTTGACACTTTCTTGCTGGTCCATCACACTTGGAGATAATTGTAAAAATTCAGGATCTACACGGACATTTAGAAATGATTAGAACACACATAGATGATATAGATAGAATAAGAGACTAAGATTTTCATTAACACAGATGATGATAAGAGACAAAGAAAAGTGAATCAAAATAAAGACTGATGAGATTGAAGTTACAACTGCAAGATCAATGAGAATGACAACAATAACTTCTATAATAATGTGAAAAAGGTATACTGTAACTTAAACTAGTTTGCCCGGACCAATTACAAAGAGAACAACCAAGTAACCCACCTATGTGTATGAAAACTTCAGATACTTTAGGATGAGACTTATGAACATGATCACGAACATTTTCGCCAATCGCATGAGCAGCACTAACACTAGAAAATGGATCAACCTGCAAATCAAATGTTGAAAGCATGTAACAAATAAGTCATTAAGAATTTCCAGCAATCTTACATGAATGCAGATTCATGGTCTAATATAAACTTCTGCATTGGAGTTAATGTATAATCAGGAGAACGTACCACGATATGTACATCAAGGTACAGATATGAACCAGCCCTCCTTCCCCTTAAACGATGGCATCCCTGCAGACAATTCAAAAGCTATTTAACAAAGAAAGCCAAAAAAGGAAGAGCAACATTGGAGTTATTAACTTCACCTGCCACAAATAACCAACTGATGAAATGATAACTGAGGAATTCCAAAAGTTTAAATCAAACAAATTATACTTCAACTTTACTCTGTAGCTAAATTTTACGTTTATCATACAAATACATGGAACTCATGTGCTCCCACCAAAAAAAAAAAAAACTAATGAACAAATTTGGAAAGTAATTGGCATCCATGGCAATAAAACAGCAGTAAAAACAAAAAACAAAATAGAGAATCAACACACAAGCAGTATGGAAACAATGGATCAAAGAATAAAGTAGCACAATTTCTAAAAAGCACATGTGAGGGGAAAATATCAAAATTCTAGTACATACCTTGACTCCTTCAACCTTTAGTATTGTCTCCCTTATAGGGGCCAATTCTTCTGCTGGGATTGCAGCATCCACCAGTTCCAAGACACTAGTAGTTGATACAAGAACATATTCAATATTGATATTCATGACAAAGACACAAAAGTAACTTCTCTGATAATCATTCAAGAACAAAAAACCAAATTTTCAGCACTCAAAATTATTAAAGATGGACTTTGGGTTGTCAATAAATGAGATGGTGCAGTATAATGGAAAGCAGATAATACCTCTGATAACCAGTGTCCAGTCCAGCTTTTAAGATCATGCCTGAGACAACCAGTCCAGCCAGGGGATCTAGGAACTTAACTCCAAGTATAGAGCCTCCTAATGTCATGATGGCAAATAAGAATTTGTGATCAATCAGTATTCACAAGATTGAAAAGTAGTGGATCATTAAGGAACTCAGCAAGGAATGAAACAAGAAAACTAGAGGAAGAAAGATACTGTTCCCATATGTCCTCAAGAAATGCTAAAACTGAAGGATGTCACCCTATAAAGTTAAAAACTGAACTGAAGAAGAAACAGTAATGATGCCAGCAGAGCATATGTAGAGTAAAATTCAGTAAGTGCCACATAAAGGACCTTCAGCCCTTTCTGACCATTGGGAGGAAAGTTGACATACAGTCAATCTATCATTTTCAATCCACCAGCCCGAAGTGCAGAAAGTTATGGACAAGGGAATAGATTATGATGATACCAGACATCTCAGAAGTTCACTGATATACAACTTCAGAAAGCTTTTCTGATATATAAAAAATAAATAAATAAAGGTTTCTCTATTTTAAAGTGCAAATTGTTTCGGAAAAATACCTTAGCTTTTTCCAGTGACAAAAATTGTGAAGCAATAGTGGGAATTTGAAGATCATAAGTGTAAATACACTAACAATCAGAATTTATAAGAATCTTAAAAAAAAAAAAAAAAAAAAAAAAAAAAAAAGAAGTTTCCCATTTTGAACAAAATGGTAAATTATGGAAACAACAGCCTTGTGTCCAAGGCATAGGCCTCCTTGAATGTCTCTCGAGTCCCGGGTGTGAATCCGGGCAATTGCATAGGACAGAATTTAAGGGAAAAACTATTTCCCATTGTGTACCCCAACCATGGAACCAAGAAGATGAAAAAGGCTGAGCTATCTATATTCTAAAGCAGTCCTGTGGACGTCATATCGCATGAATCAATATCAACATTCTGCAGTATATATTGGTCAAATAACCAACTGAATAAAGTATCATCTATGAACTAAAAAAAACTATACTAATTAACCACAAAATCATGCACTAAGATGTTACAAGTGTAATAAAAAAAAATTAAAAGATTATTAAATGCTTTGCTTCTTACCAACCCCAATAAGAGCAACTACAGACGAAATAGCATCAGCACGATGGTGCCATGCATTTGCTTTCATTAGTCCACTACCTTGCCTTTCCCCAGCTCGTTTTGTGATCCAATAAAGCCTATGCGTAAAACAAAACACTCCAAGATTAGAATACAAAGCAGCCAACACAGTACAAGAAAAAAAATTGGGTCCCAAAAAAAAATCCTCCTGCATCCAGAAGTAGTATAAACAAAAAGTTCATCAATTAAATTAGAAATAAGAAGACTTAATGGGTACCCTTCTTTAACAGATATTGATAGAATAGTCATGGTCAAAGCTAGTATAGGGTGACCCATATCAATTCCATGATGATGTCCACCGTGATGATGATGGCTCTGCAAATTCCCGTGATTGACTACTTCAGGAGCGGTAGACATCAAACCCTGCACATGATTAAGAAAAAAAAATTCTAAGGGAAAGAAAGTAGAAAATGATTTGATTTTAGATGTATTTGGAAACGTTTTTATCAAGTCATTTGTGATCAAACAGAAGAGAGAAAGAAAGAAGGTGTACTAGCAAAATGTCTAAAGCATGCCATGCAATACCGCCCGCAGTTGCCAATAGCATACAAGAGATTCCAAGAGCTCCAAGAGTTTCAAATTTACCATGCCCTGAGAAGACAAAATAACAATAATGAAGCCATGATACAAACCAAGCATAAATTCATTAAAGACAACTAAAAAGAGATGCACAAATTTAAGAAAAACTGAGTAGCGTGTAGGTACAAATTAAACGTGACCATATGGATGTTCTTTGTCTTTAGGAGCCTTTGCCGCTTTGAATGACCACAACGCAATCCCACTGAGAACCTGCAATAAAATAAATAAATAATAAAATAAACCGCAAGCATAGGGAAATGCGAAACCAACAGATTTTAAAAACTGTAATTACCACATCGGATACGGAATGGGCAGCATCAGCAATAATGGCAGTACTTCCTGATACATATCCAGTCAAAGCTTTGCCAGTGGCCAACCCGATATCGGAGAAGAGACCCAGCCAGAAAATGTTCTCGGCCTCTTTTCCGGAGAACTGGTGGCGGTGGTCGTGGTGGTCATGAGAATGACCTAAATGCCATCTAACGGGGATCTTGAGATAATGTTGACTAGAGAAATTTGAAGAAGGGTTAGAAAATTGGGAATTTAGGGATTGGAAAATGGGGTGATAGTAGGTTCTGTTGGATTTTGTGGACAGTGTGGAGATGTAGGTTCTGTAAATGATGTTGAAATTGTGGAATCTAAATCCCATTGCTCAGTTGGTTAAAACAACAACAAAGGTGAGAAAGATAGATTTAGTTGTATCGAGTGATGGAAGTTGAACTTGAAGTTGAATTTCAAGCGGAAAGCTTGACATGGCTATCTAAATTTTCTGTATCCTTCAATCCATTTCAGATCATATAAGAATATGATTCCTTTTCACGTGTCATCAGAGCTGTCGCTGACTATACACAAGAAAGTAAAACATGTCGCTTTATTTCGAAAAGGAAGATGATAGGTCGTCTATGCCTCCGAAAAGCAGATGACATGTCGTTTATAAACACACGACTCACTGATATTTTGTATTGAATTAGTGATAACTGTGTAGAAGAGTTTGGATATAATCGTATTATGTCTTAATTAATAACAATATGCCGTCTTGATGGTTGAGCTGCCTTTGTTAGCTTCTTTCGTTCATTTGAAACTAGGGAGAACAACGTTTTCCCACCCAAGTTTTGACGAAATAACACTTTTTCACCCGTTAAATTTCAAAATGATGTTTTTCTATCATTGGTCAGGTTTTGTTAGTATTTTATATTAATATTTGATTTAAAAAACGAAAATATATTTAAATAATTTATTTCTTAATTAGTTTATTATAAATTAAAATTTTATTAAGTCAAAATGTTTACTCAATTATTTATTAGTTTAAGTGTAGAGATATATTTTTTCCTTCGTTTATTTAATTAATTAGGAATAATAATTTTCTATGTTAATTAACAAAAATGAAAAACATTATAATGATTTGAGATATTGATGACATTATAAATAAATATTAAAATCATTTAACTTTAAACAATTTCATAACATTATTCCTAACTTTTTAGGTGAGGTTAATTATTTTTTCTTTTTTGATTTTTTAATATTTGATTTTTTATCTATTTAAAAAATAATAAAAATATATAAAATTAAATATTTAAAGATATTTTTGTTTTTTTAATAAAATATTAATGAAAAATATGATAAAACTTAATAAAGAGTGATGAAGTATCATTTTAAAACTTAACAGGTGAAAATATGCGGTTTGGCCAAACCTTGGGTGGTCGTTCTCCCTTGAAACTATTACTATCCTGTATTTTGATTTGCATGGTGTCTTTAATTGCGCACTCTAGTAAAAAATTTAATTGCCCCAAAAAATATTTTGGGCCCTACACTTTAGGCATATTTTAATTAATATGTGGTTCAAAAAGCTTTTCACTGTCTGAACAACTAAAGACCTCAACCATCCCGAAAAGCGAAAAGTTTGATCTTGTCAAGCTAAGCCCAGATAACTACAAGCCCATTAATCTGTCGGCCAATACCCAACCTTCCAGTTTTAATTTGAGATTATTTTGCATTATTATTTAAGTAGAGAGAAAAAGGGAGAGAACCAAGTGAATAAGTTGGCGGGCGAGCAAGTTTCAGATGGTTTTATCAAATTCAATATCAAGATGAAGTTCTCAACACAACCGCAATTCAATGTCCCCTTCTTCCAAAACCCATTCCAAGATTTAAACTTCCACTAACATCTCACCCCAAAACCCAGTCACTTAAAATGTAAATCCTTCTTTTTAAATACAATTTACTCGTATGTCTGGGATTCGGAGGAAGAACCAGTGGGTCACAATCACCAACCCAAAACAAGCTTATCGTCTCCGGTCTCGCCAATTTCTATCCCCATATTTGTTATGGTCCCGAACTTCCTCATACCCAGAAGAATTCCACTGTCTGGACCTGTCAGGCCTATATCTCCATCCGGAATTCATATTGGGTTCCTGTAAGTTCCTTCTAGACATGTACTCTGGTTGCCTAGTAGGACTATTCTCTGGACTCCATGATTCAAATCCATCATTACCTACATATTTATTTCCTTCCCTATGAGGCCCTGACAGCAACTGAGGCTGCTGCACAGGGCCTCCATATGATGCATTATAATTGTTTTGATTTGCTTGATAACGGGGATTTGTAGCCACATACTGACTTGCTCTCCAGGTATCGGATACAGGACCTACATTTCCGATTGGTAGCCTAGAGGTAGAGGTAGAGTTGTATTGTGGTGTCACATGCCTATGATCAGACGTAAGAGGCTGTTGGGGCTGTTTATGTGATCTTGTTTGTGTGGGAATTAAAGAGGACATTGGATATGAAGTGGGTTGTCTCTCTGGGGCATTTATAGGCATTGCTGCTACTTTCAAATTGTTTATATGTTCGACTCGCATTGAAGGCCCAGCCGCAGCCGATATGTTTGGCAAGCAAGTGTTAGAAATAGGTAGATTTTTCATGGTTAAACCTATTTCTGAGGACTGTGTCAATATAATTGAAGAATTGGTGGGAAGGGTCTGATGCAAAGAAGGATGTAGATTTTCAGGTGATATAGCATTTGTTAGGTGTAATGAAGGCCGCATTGTTGGCCCAGGAACCTGTTGGGACAAAGATGGCAAACTTGTCGGCTGTGGCGGCATTGCCATGTTCATAGCTGAAATTCCAGACCTCACCAAATTGTTTGTAGGCAGCATTTCATTTAAGGAGGTGGTGGAAACTACGTCAGGAGTAGCGTAGGCAACACTGCTCCCCATTGTACTTTGGCGTGTGAAGGGATTCCCAACTTCTTGTCTCCATCCTCTCTGCAAATAAAATGAAATGCATCAAATACTAGACATAATCATTACAATATCTGAATTAATACAACTGATAGATTTTCTGAAATCAACAACATTAACTACTTAATTTTTTTTTTATTAATATATACATTAGTCCCTTCCATCATAGAGGATCCCCCGCTAAAATCTACTGGAAAAGAATTTTGGAGAGGGGGGAACGGAGCAAATAAGGAGCTTTTCATTAGTTCACACTCACAATTAATGGAAAATCAATTTTCTGAATAAGGACAAAGACACCTATCCCATCATTTGAATGATAGGTTTCCTTCATCAGACTGCAGGGCCCATGTTAACAGCAACTTTCTTAGTTTAGTTAAGTTTAATTAAATTTTTTTTTTTTTTTTTTTATATGTTGGCCCCAGCTGTAACAATATGGAAATGCGATGCAAAAGCAGAGAATACAAAGCCCATGCAAGAGATTGGTAGCAAAATTTGTTAACGCACCGTTCCGGGAATAGGATTGCTTGACGGAGTTGGGGAGGGGAGAGAAACTTCAACCTTATCCTCCACTTTTCCCCCAATCCCGTTCAAATTACCGGCTAAACCAGACCCGCCAGTCTTAATCATATCAAGCAGCCTCACAGTATCTTCACTAGATAAGTTACCAGCTTGGCCAGAAGTCAATGCAAAAACCAATTCAGGATTTTTAAGCAGTACAGCAAGCAACTCGAGATCGGGTTCAGTTGTGCTCCCATTAACAACTTGAGATGGCATGGGCACCGAAGGAGCTGCACTATTTACAATAACACTATCAGTGGCCTGTGTATCTCCAGTGTCAGCATCAGGAGGCTGTTCGGTTGGGATTTCTGGGGTTAGTGAATCATCATAGTCCATTTCAAGGTCCCAAGGCTCCTTGGGATTAGATGGTATCTCCTGAATTGTATGATAGATGGTTTCCTTCTCTCGGTGGTTTCTGTTTTTCTGAACTTCAACCTCTTTGCTATTCTCACCGCCACCAACTCTCCAAACCTCGTTCAGTTGGACTTCTGCAGAAAGGAAAAGGGCATAAAAGGTTGAAATTTGCTGAAAATGTCATTGAACATCAAGGACACTTCATCGATAAAAGGATTTTAAAAGAAAAAAAGTAAAAGTGAAAGAAGTGAGCGTGTCACAAATTGGCGAACAGCTTTTTTACTGCATTAAATGTAAGAGCTGGATGTTTGGATTTTGGAAGTTGTAAGATACCGCTCAGCTAACCACGAGACAATTTTATTTTTCTCATATTCTCTCACAATCAACCATATACATCTTAGAAAAATATAAAATAAATAAAGCGGACCGGTTCCTAAATTCCGTAGTAGGTACAGTTACACACACAGAATCAGACACCCTCAGCTTCCTGGCAATTTCTTAATCAATGAAATTTGGTTGAAGATCAATACACTCAAGATTATAACCTCAAAAACATCAAAGTCCAGACAAATGTCCTGTTCTTCTAACAGAGTCTTCACATTCTAAGTATTTATAAATATCAACTGTTTTACCCATGCCAGCCTTCTAAATTGTTCCAAGTGTAGAATGCTGTGACATAGGGGCCAAAGCGATTACATTGAGATATTATCATCTCCATATTCAATTTGCTTGTTACGAATTTACAGAATTATAGTTGATATTAATCTTTATTGGGTGAATTTTGTTTCATTGAGCAGCAAAAAATGCAACCTGGCCTTACATTCAATGACATAAAATCCAAGCAATTTTTTTGTAAATGAAGATAGAGAAGCAACATTTTTTTATACAACTCTAGAGAAGCCAGCACCATGAACTAAAAACACCTTAATAATCAATTGGTGCCAGAAATGCTCATATTTTTACGTTAGAAAATTAAAGTATTACTTGTTATTGAACAGGCATTCAGATTCCAACAGATCTAGAAACTTTCTATTGTGAGTTCATTTGAATTTGCATATTAAAGAAACAAAGATCATTTAAACAGTCATTTAAACAGAGGCTTCTTGGGTTTTGGGGTGTAGTAGTATGGTCATCTTTTCAAACTCAACAGTTCAACTATACTATGGTATTGAAAGAATCAATAAGCTCCGGAATGTACATTAGAAAAAATCCATTTTCATCTGGCATATAAATGCCCTCTCGATAATTTGAAGGTCAGGCCAAAAAGCACAAATATTTCAAACTTCCCGTTGATGATCCTCAGAAAGCAAAAGTGTTTATCCCAATAAAGTTTTGCAACATCACACAAGTACTTTGTCTCCCAATAAGGTTTCACACAGAACTCTGAAGTAATAACATACTGAAATTTTTTAGACCTAGTAAGAAATATAGATTTCCAATTATTAATCAAGATCTGATCACAACAAACTCTTTTTGCAAGTAGCACTTCACAAAGATTACTGAATATGATGGGCCACTAGCAAAATTTTTTTTTTCTTTAATTGGGAAAAGATAGTGGTTAATGAGTCAACACAAAGACGCTTCAAACCAGACCCCGACAACCAAGCCTACACAGCT